TGGTATATTCAGTTGAACTAAAATATAGATATGATCGGTTGAACTAAAATATAGAAATGATCGGTTAAACTGAAATATTGATTTATTCAGTTGAACTGAAATCTAGATATGTTTGGTTTGCTTTAAATGTGGATATGACCTGTTCCACTAAAATATAGATATTGCAGGTTGAATTGAAATAGGAATTGTTGGTTGAATAAAAATAGGTCTGTTCGGTTGAATAAAAATAGGTATGTTCGGTTGAATAAAAATAGGTATGCTCGTTTGAATTGAAATATAGGAATGTTCGGTTAAATTGCTGGTATTTGGTTTGATGATGTAAAAAATGTAGGATAAGCTCAGTGGAGCAAATCAGAGGCTTTAGAGTATACTTTCCAACCTATTTACCATTGTTTATACTTTTTAAATATTTAAATATATATCTCACATTAGAATATAGTTTATAAATACTTTTCCAACCTATCTCCCATTGTTTATACTTTTTAAATATATAAATATATATCTCACATTAGAATATAGTTTAAATATACTTTTCCGACCTATTTCCCATTGTTTTTACTTTTTAAATATATAAATATATACCTCACATTAGAATATAGTTTATATACCTTGTTTCCCTGTATGCATTATCATATGAATTATGCAAAGTAAGTTTATGAAATTTGTTACATCTTGTATTAGCGGTAAAAGGTTATAGTAAAGAATGGTAATAGACAAATTATATACATGTACCAATTGCCTTACTCCAACAAGTTCTTTTAAGTCTGTATCAATCCAGATACAATCTGCTCTTGAACTCTTTAGTCTGTATCGTACAGATACAACTCATCCTAGAACTCAATATGTTCTACAATAATACCTTAGTATGTATCGTACAGATCCAACTCGCTCTTGGACTCATGCTCTCTAAAAGAGAAATAATACGTGTCTAAAAGTAATAAAGCAAGGTTCATGTCCAACTAATCTATATTTTGGGAGTTTTGGATTTTAAAGCACCCTTGTATTACATCCCTTGTATTACATTCCTTGTATTATATCCCTTGTATTACATCCCTTGTATTACATCCCTTGTATTACATCCCTTGTAGTACATTCCTTGTAGTACATCCCTTGTAGTACATCCCTTGTAGTACATACCATTAGTACATTCCTTGTTGTACATTCCTTCTTGTACATCCGTTGTTAGTTCATCTATCGTAGTTATTCCTTGTAGTACATCCCTTGTAGTACATACCTAATTAGAACATTCCTTGTTGTACATTCCTTCTTGTACATCCCTTGTTAGTACATCCCTTGCAGTACATCCCTTGTAGTACATCCCTTGTAGTACTTCTCTTGAAGTAAATCCCTAGAAGTACAACCCTTGAAGTACATCCCTTGTAGTACATCCATTATAGTGCATCCCTTGTAGTACATCACTTGTAGAACATCCCTTATAGTACATCCCTTTAGTACATTCCTTGTTGTACATCCCTTGTTGTACATTCCTTGTTGTACATCCCTTGTAGTACATCCCTTGTAGTACATCCCTTGTAGTACATCCCTTATCTCTATATATATATATAATGTTGTTATCTCTGTTTGTTTGTTTGGTTGTCCGATCATAATTCAGAAACCCTTGGACAGATTTGCCCCAAATTTTGATTGGGGACCTTGGGAGAACCACGGGAATGTTTTAAGTGGAGTGGGTCGACCGTGCAACGCTCGGTTCCCAAGCTAGTAGAGTATAAACTTGTAAGAATTGTTATTTTAAATAAAATGTAAGCTCTAGTTTAATTGCCAATGACTGTCATGCCAAATTTTAGTAAATCGAATACGTCAATTTCCAATTAAGCTAAAGAATCAGCTAATCTTTTTTAAAAAAATCAGAACTCCCTCTGCGTCATATTTTTTTCAAGAAACAAAGAAATTGAATTTTTGAAACAAGCTCAAATTTTCTAATCCTTATATTTTGCAACCTGATAGCGTAAACCTTTGATTTTTTAAACCTAGTGTTGTGTAATCAAACATGAAAAATTCATAGTTTGAAATATCAAGGTTTTCGAAATTATCCTACAATGATGTAGGGATTAGAAATTCAGAGTTTGTGGCAAAGAGACCTATTTCCTTTAATGCTTGTTTACAAGTTTTATTTTCCATCTTCTTAATTATAAATTCTTCCAAGCGACATATTAATTTTTCTCACTTTTTTGTCTAGAGTTTTATTTTATTTTTTTTACCTTTTTCTTTTCTTTTACTTTATGTTTATTTTGATTTCTGTAAATACTATAGTCTTTATATTTTCTTGTTTATTTATAACATATACAATCTCGAAATGTATTACAACTGCCCATTCATAAGTTTACTCAACTGTCTCAAAATCATAATTCTCTGACTGTCATAGTTCTTCATCTTTACCCTTTATACCCCCCCCCTTCCCCTCCAGCACTTTACTAAATTAAAGTCCAATAGTTATAACCACTAACCATGTATAAAAGTCAAAGAGAATAGAATATATATTAGAGTGGAATTTAGCTCGGTATGAATTTTGCCAGTCCCTTTCAGCCTGAAAGGGAGTTTAAAGTGTAGAAATCATGTAAATGTTTACAAATTATATGCAGTAGAGTACATTAATACATTAATTAAAAACATCTTAAAGCAATGTTCATGAGTTCATGATCTGAATCCGGATCCGGACCCATTTTTTTCCAGTGTGAATCCAGGATCCGCATACAAATTAATTCTTAGCACTGCTCTAAACACACAAAATCTTGTTAAGTTTTATCTGTATCCCCCTCATAGTGAAGCAAAGGTTGGAGAAATATGGAAAAGTTTAATGTTTTTATCCTTTTCTGTTATCTTATTGCCTGGATACAGATGTGGTAGAAAGGTGGGACTAGGAGGTCATTTATTCAATTGATGTGATCATTAGCCACGGATATATTTCTTCTTACAAACTTGGATTGCTTTTAGTTCAGATGAGGATTGTTCTATTTGTGTAGATAATTCAGTTCAGGGGAGGACTGTTCTATTTGTGTAGATAATTCAGTTCAGGGGAGGATTGTTCTATTTGTGTAGATAATTCAGTTCAGGGGAGGATTGTTCTATTTGTGTAGATAATCCAGTTCAGGGGAGGATTATTCTATTTGTGAAGAGAATTCAGTTCAGGGGAGGATTGTTCTATTTGTGTAGATAATTCAGTTCAGGGGAGGATTGTTCTATTTGTGAAGAGAATTCAGTTCAGGGGAGGATTGTTCTATTTGTGAAGAGAATTCAGTTCAGGGGAGGATTATTCTATTTGTGTAGAGAATTCAGTTCAGGGGGGGGGGGTTCTATTTCTGTCGAGAATTGAGTTCAGGGGAGGATTGTTTTTTTTTCTGTAGAGAATTGAGTTCAGGGGAGGATTGTTTTATTTCTGTAGAGAATTGAATTCAGGGGAGGATTTTTCTATTTATGTAGAGAATTCAGTTCATGGGAGGATATTGTTCTATTTTTGTAGAGAATTGAGTTCAGGGGAGGATTTTTCTATTTATGTAGAGAATTCAGTTCAGGGGAGGCTATTGTTCTATTTCTATAGAGAATTGAATTCAGGGGAGGGGTTTTCTATATGTGAAGAAAATTGTTTGTGTAGAAATTTCAGTTCAGGGGAACATTTTTCTATTTTTGCAGACATTTGAGTTCTGGGAAGGATTGTTCTAATTGTGTAGAGAATTGAGTTCAGGGGAGGATTGTTTCATTAACATGGTGGAATCAGTTTAGAAGAAAATTATTTAGTATATGATTCAATACATGGAGTGGAGGTTTTATTTATTTAATTTTATAAACTGATGTAAAAAAACTAGTGTTGCAAAATTGCAAACTATAACATTTTAAAAATGCCTCTCTAATAAGTTAAATTTCTGATAATGTCATTAAAAAAATCATGATAAAACTTCCATGTTTATGGCAATCTTTAACTTATACAAAGGAAGTAAGTTATCATTATCCTTTATATAAAGGCATTAATGCTGTATATGTATATTGCCCTCTATTGATAGTTACTTAACCAGACAACTAGATAGAAAGATAGAGCTTGCTTACTCTATACATAATATCAATAGGATATATAAAGAGTAGAAGGGTGTATACAGAATACCTTTCAGGGGGAAAGAGGTGGAATAGAAATAACATTGTATAAGATGGAAATTTGGATACTAGAGGGTTCAGGACAGGTATAGTATAGGAAGGAGTGGGGAGTCCTATTATTTAGTATCTTGGATATCTGGATACTAGAGGCTTCAGGACAAGTATAGTATAGGGAGGAGTGGGGACTCCTATTATATTAGTATCTTGGATATATGGATACTAGAGGGTTTAGGACAGGTATATTATCAAATAGTTATTTTTTGTTAGAGTAGAAAAATTTGCTATATATATTATTAAACATTTTTTAATAATTTTCAACAGTTGTAATTTTCTCCATCAAGTTATTGATTCTTGTATTTAGGCAATTATCCTAGTATCCTAGTATCCTAGTATCCTAGTATCATAGTATCCTTGTATCTTAGTATCCTTGTATCTTAGTATCCTAGTATCCTATTATCCTAGTATCATAGTATCCTTGTATCTTAGTATCCTAGTATCCTAGTATCATAGTATCCTTGTATCCTATTATCCTAGTATCCTAGCATCCCAGTATCTTAGCATCCTAGTATCCTAGTATCCTTGTATCCTTGTATCCTAGTATCCAATTATCCCAGTTTAAATCTGAATTAACATTTTTTTATAAAAGGGCGCTTAACTACAACGATTGATCTCGACATCCACTATGACAACATTAAAATATGAGATCCCTTAATATTAACGTGTTAACTGTTGCATCTGAAAATGAAGGTTAATCTAAATTTGGTGAAGAAATCTTAAAATCCTAAATTTTTTCAGTGATTGAACACTAAATTTAATTCATAATTATAGTTTCATTTTTCTGAAAGGAACCGTAAGCGTAATTTCTAGTGATCCTTCTTGCAAATATGGCAATGCCAGAATGTGGAAGATAACGTTATTTTTCTAGATTTAAAAGATTTCTATATGGTTTCCTGCAGTAGAAATGCATGAGTCACTGCCGTAGACAAAACTGTTCTTTAGTGTACTGTTGTAAATCAGACATTGCCGTCTTTGCATGGATGGTCACGTAATATTACAGTTCATTTAAACACTATTCTGAAACACGATTGATATAGTTTTAAGGCAACATAAAACAAATAACGTTCTCAGTTTTTTTGGCTTCCGATAGTTTTCGTTTTTATTTTTTTATTGTCAACAAAACATTCAGGTCAGGTTTTCAATGAAGTGAAACCTGTGAAAATATTGTAAATTTAGGTCTGGAGATTTGAACAAGTTGGCAGGTAAATATTCAGAACAGCTGGCGGCCATTGTGGAGACAGTGAAGCGAGGCCTTTCTCCAAAAGCCAGGTAAAAACTGAATCCTAATGTTAACCATAGCCTTTATATATATATATAATATTTGATATAATTAAAGTAAGATGTATTTAAGTATACGTTACAATTCCAGATATCCTATCAAAATATCCTTCAGTATTTTGTAGTTGTTTTTTCTGAAACTAAACTCTCAAAGATGCTTTACAAATATTTATTTATCTACAAACAAATAGATTTAAAAAACTAACTTTACAAAATACAATATTTTTAGGAAGACTCTTGAAACCTTGATTACTATTGATGTACACGCTAAGGATATTATTGATAGTCTAGCAAAGGAGAATGTTACATCAGTCTCAGCTTTCTCTTGGAGTAGTCAGATGAGGTGTTTAATTTATTTATTTTAAAAAATGGTCACATCGCAGCATAAAATTTTATGTATAGGCTATATATGTACAGACCTTCAAATATCATTTTGGAATATCTCCAAGAACAGAATACTGAACTAAACTTGTAAATGTACACTACAGTTAACAATCAACTAGCCACAAACTAACCAATTGGCCATTTAACCAACAGAAACAGTCAACCAATTTTAAATGCAGAAACCAACGAATCAAGCTGCCAGTTTGAAAGCTATATCACCAAAAAACAAACATACATTGGCCATGCAATAAAAAAAATGTCTACAAACCAGCAAAGCAACTAAATATGTATCTAACAAAACAATCAACCAACCAACGAACGAACCAATCTACTAATCAATTAAAAACATCCAACCGATGAACTAACATAGCCATCAGCTAACAAATCAATCAATTAACCAATCATTATGAATTAATCAAACAAACCACTATTAAATCAATCAATCAACCAACTAACCAAGCAATTAAGTCACAGAAAGACATACTAATTAGTCAGTCAAAGTTTAGCTATTCAACAATCAACCAAAACTCATTTTTTTTATTTTTCTGGTTGAGGAGGAAACATTTTATTTTATTATTTGATTTATAAAGTTTTCTATAAAATCTTGTGCTTGTTGAAAGAGTAAAAGTTCTGTCCAATCCATCAACAATGTTATGGATATGGAAATTACAACGCCAAAGACCAAGGAAAAATATTTTTCCCTCAAAAGTCAAATTAATTTGTTTTCTTTTTGATCTAAAATAGGCAATTTTTAAAATTGAATATTAAGACAAAAATAAAATAAATCCGTGAAACCAAAAACTAATNTACACAAAGGATGTTTAAATACACAAAATATCATATATTTAGAGATTGATTTGGATAGAACACTGAACCAAACAAAAGGACGTAAATCTATTTAGACATTTCTGAAACCATTTTTAGAAATTCGTAATATCTTTAATAATATTTTCATTTAGAGTAATGTCATGGTTGAGAATATAGGAATTCAAGCTTATAAGTGCGTAATTTATTTTAGTTTGATTTAAACAAGTAAAAGATAAAGTAAAGTAAAGTAAAGTAAAGATTTTAAAGTTTTAAAATGAAAGGAAAAATATATCTCTAAACAATTGAATTAGAAAATTAAAAATTGAATTTAGAATTAAAAATTAAATTTAAAATTGAAAATTAAATTTAAAAATTAAAAATTAATCAATTAACAAATAAAATTAAAAATTTATTTGACCTGCAACTTTTGTCGCCAATTTAGCCAAATATAGAATAAAATTGTACTCTAGGAATAAATCTAGAAAAACATGATGCACATTGATCCAGACTGTAGGAAAAAGTTGCATACATTTTATAGAATTGGTCTTTTTGAAAGGATTGCACTGCTAATAAAAAGATATCAATCCTTTGCGCTTCGAGTTATGATAACACAGCAATGTATTTTTACGCTTTTAATTTATTCTACAGTGAAAATCTTAATAACGAATACATCGGAAGAATTTATCAAATGTCGTCTTGACAATGTTTCAATGAGTTTTATACTATATTTCGTAAATTTCAGTATTTCCAAAAATAAAGAAATAGCCATGAATATGTGAGAACAGTTTTAAAGAGTTCCATATAATCATTTAATTAAAAAACTAAATATCTGCAACATTCCATTATCAGAAAGTGAAGAATACGACATTTGATGAATTCTTTCGATGTATTCGTTATTAAGGGTATCACTGTATATAAATCAATTTTGGTCTATAAAAACGAGTTTTCATAATATCCTAATTTTTTGTAGAATATAAAATTTCAATATAAAATACCCATGATACACATTTGCATTTGTATTATTACTGTACAGATTGTACATTAATTGGTACTTTGAGTACTCATGCAGGGCAATGAGTGGCATACTTATGCTGTACAATGAGTGGCACTTTTAGTACTTTTGCTGTACAGTGAGTGGTACTTTCAGTACTTATGCTGTACAATGAGTGGCAATTTTAGTATTCATGTTGTACAATGAGTGGTACTTTTAGTGGCACTTTATTCCTGGAATCAGTTGTATTTTCCGTGTTTGTGCTGTACAACGGGTGGTAAAGGATGTAAGGAGATTATGGCCTAATAATACAGTTCAAACGTCAAATATGCAGTAGACTTTCGCAGGAAGTAAATGAAGTATGTGAACTGTACATTTAGTGAAGGATTAGCGTATATCATCACTCTATAATATACCATTAAACCTCGTTGCCTGAAATTTATAATCTACCTTCTATAGATACTACCTGGAGAACAAGAGTGTAAAATTGAAGATGATAAATACAGATCTAGAGTATGGTTTTGAGTATCTAGGAAACTCAAGTAGACTTGTTATAACTCCACTTACTGACAGGTCCAGTAAATTTTACAATATATGTTTGTCTTATCTGTCCATCCGATGTCTATTTATAAGCAATAATAACTATTAATAACACTGTTATTTTGGTTCGCAATGTTATAAAGTTTTTGAACAGAAATTTTCTCTTTATCGAGAAGGTTCAAGCCTTTTCAGATATAATTTGATCCCGAGCTTTAGCCAAAATAATAGTGTTATAGGTAATTTTATGAAACGTTTGTGAACTTTGAAACAAAGCAGAAGTCAAAATAAAGTTGATTTCAATTTTATTTATATTTAATTAAAAAATTGTTTTCTTAAATTTTTTTAAAAGAAAATCCGGGAACCAATCAAAACTTTATAGCACATGTGCTATAATTCACAGCTAATTTAACTTTATAGCACGATGATTACTTTATAGGACGCTTAAATTATGAAATTCGAGATGAAGTGAGTAAGTGAGTGATAAATGTCAAAAAGACCTTAATGGGACTGTAATAGTAATTTCTATTGACCTTCCATGCAAAGAAGCCAATGCCCGATTCACAACCATTGTCACATTATCCGACCAATACTGTGGAAGATACCGTCGTTTTTCTAGTTTTACAAGTATATTGATACAAAATTCAAATTTGATCATAGAAATCTTTTAAGGGTACCGTTGTGAATCGGACATTGCCATCTTTGCATTGAGGGTCACTTAAATTTACTCTTACGGTTCCTTTAAAAATGAAAGGGGGTATAGGCTTATGTCGAAAAATATTCTTTGATGATTGCTACTAATCTTACTTCTATATGTTTCGTCATTGTATATAAAACAAACAAAAAACATATTATGAAATATCAATTTTATACGAATGCGTCGAAAAATAATCAATTATTATATGATGTAATATCTGAAAATTTGTTTGAAATTGAATTGATTTATACGATCCGAGTCGAATATTGGAACTTTCTGATTTTGTATGGAAAATACGTACTTCGTTATGAGTCGTTTTAAACAATTTTCTCCTTATTGACGCAACAGAAAGAAGTGGCAATCATCGTCAAATATTTTACAACATAAGCCTCCCTTTCATTTTTGCGAACACTCCCATAAAATTAAAAGAAATTGCATTAATACAAATTGATACTTTCTTGAATTTCCTGAATAAAGTTTTATATTCGGTTGATAAAGGTAAATACTCGTCACATACTAATTGTCTAATTTCTATATCTTTGCAATAGCGTACACCTTTGAATTTTAAAACTTGTTTAATCTCGCAAAATTGTATTGATATTTTGAAATACAAAATTAGATTGCTAAGATATCGGAATGCAGTGATAATCATAAAACAGTGGAATAGGAAGACGACATTGTATCAATACTTAAGTGTATTTGATGTTGTTAAAAAGGAAAAAGTTTTACGAGACATTTATACAATCACTACTTTAGTGAAATCATTCTGGTTTACACCACACAATTGCTGTGTCTAATGTTAATTGGAATATAAAAATATCACTGTATATTGCGCAGGTGTTTCCGAACATTAATGAGTGCACTAGAGTTAAATCTTGGAGGAGCTCCAGAAGGTCAGAATTATAAATGTTTAGCTTTAAAGGGATAGGATCAGCTGTTTTATAGAAACGTTTAATACTAAAGGGAGGATTAGCTGTTTTATAGAAATGTTCAGCTTTAAAGGAAGAGGATCAGCTGTTTTATAGAAATGTTTAGCTTTAAAAGGGAGGATTAGCTGTTTTATTGAAATGTTCAGTTTTAAAGGGAGGATCTGCTGATATAATAGAATTGTATAGTTTTAAAGGGAGGATCAGCTGTTTTATAGAAATTTTAAGTTTTAAATGGGGATAAGATGTTTATTTTTAAAGGAAGAGGATCAGCTGTTTCAAGAATGGTATAGTCTTAAGGGGAGGATCACAGCTGTTTTATAGAAATGTTTAGTTTTAAAGGGAGGATCAGCTGTTTTATAGAATGGTATAGTTTTAAATGGAGGATTAGCTGTTTTATAGAAATGTTTAGTTTTAAAGGGAGGATCAGCTGTTTTATAGAAATGTTAAGTTTTAAAGTGAGGATCCGCTGCTTCATAGAAATGTTTAGTTTTAAAGGAAGAGGATCAGCTGTTTTATAGAATGGTATAGATATAAAGGGAGGATCAGCTGTTTTATAGAAGTGTTAAGTTTTAAAGGGAGGATCAGCTGTTTCATAGAAATGTTTAGTTTTAAAGGAAGAGGATCAGCTGTTTTATAGAATGGTATAGATATAAAGGGAGGATCAGCTGTTTTATAGAAATGTTTAGTTTTAAAGGAAGAGGATCAGCTGTTTTATAGAATGGTATAGATATAAAAGGAGGATAAGATGTTTTATAGAAATGTTTAGTTTCAAAGGGAAGATTAGCTGTTTTTTGGAAATATTTAGTTTTAAAGGGGGAGGATTTAGTTTGTTTAATTAATTGATTTCTTGGATGATTGGTTATTTGGGTGATTGATTAAATCATTGATTGATTAAATGTTGGATTGATTGCTTAAATGTTTGATTGATTGTTTGATTGATTACTTAATTGATAAATTGATTTTTTGATGAATTGATTGATTTATTCATTAATTGGTTGATTTATTTGTTAATTGATTGATTAACTAATGAACTGATTGAATGATTTAATTGATTAATGAATTGATTGATTGATTGTCTAAGGTGCTGCTGGTACTGGGAAGACTGAGACGTGTAAAGATCTGGCTAAGGCTGCAGGAAGGCAGTGTATTGTGTTTAACTGTTCTGATGGACTCGACTGCTCGGCTATGGCAAAGTTTTTTAAAGGACTAGCGCAGTCTGGATCCTGGGCATGCTTTGACGAGTTTAATAGGTTGCTTCAATTTTTTAATCAGGGATCCAATTTAACCCTATTACATAGGGGGATAGGGGGGTAGGGTGTTTTCCAACCCCCTGTGGTTTTTCCTAAATAAATAAAAAAGACTGACATTAGAACGCTAAAACTTCTTCTTTGTTTTTAAAAAACTTCATAGTTGTGAACAAAATTAGAAGAAAAAAATGCTTTTGATGCCAGCATAGGGTAGGGTGGAGGAAAAACAAAAGTCTGGTCGGTGTAGAGAAATAAATCAGAAATGGTTAATAATTTTTGTATTAATTAAATTGATTAAAATTTATATAATTAAAAATTCCTTGAAAAATGGATGCAATATCAAGTGTCACAAGTTAAAAAAAAGACATTCCTCCGAAGTACTTTTTGAACTTTTTTAAAAATCCTCCCTTGCCCTTGCACTCTTACTATCATAAAGATAGAGGTCTATTTTTTTAATGAGCAGGCCTTGAAAAATTGGACTAAGGACATGTATTATTCTCCCCTATATCAACTCTAAGGGCAAAATTATAAAATAATATATATATATATATATTTGACAAAAATAGCCCAATCTGTATATAGTTAATGAATTACAAGAACTATAAAATGACTAAGTTAAAACACTTGTTCAATTTGAACTGGCAACCTCTTGGTCTATTTAGTTCAACTATATCTCGCTATTTTTTAAATTTGGTCTGAGATTCCTTGAACCCTATAAAGGCTGGGGAATCTGAATCCCCTAGAAAAAGCCTTAGATAATATATGTTATAGGGCTGAAAGGCATTATTAAACAAAAATTAGACCGATAACTTTAATAGCTTGGGTGCTAGGGAGGGTTAAAAAAATGCCAAAAACGGGTTTGAAAAATGTAGTTGCTTAGCAAAAACTTACTCTCTAGGATAGAAACTAGAAGTATTATCTGTAGTTACTCAGTATATACAGGTTTGATCTAGAAAAAATATCTGTAGTCGCTCAGCAAATACTAACTTTCTAGGATAGATCTTTAAGAGTATTATCTGTAGTTCCTCAGCAAATACTAACTTTCTAGGATAGATCTTTAAGAGTATTATCTGTAGTTCCTCAGCAAATACTAACTTTCTAGGATTGATCTAAGAGTATTATCTGTAGTTGCTCAACAAATACTAACTATCTAGGATTGATCTGGGAGTATTATCTGTAGTTGCTCAGCAAATACTAACTTTCTAGGACTGATCTGGGAGTATTATCTGTAGTTGCTCAGCAAATATTAACTATCTAGGATTGATCTAAGAGTATTATCTGTAGTTGCTCAGCAAAAACTAACTATCTAGGAAAGATCTGGGAGTATTATCTGTAGTTGCTCAGCAAATACTCACTATCTAGGATAGATCTGGGAGTTTAATCTGTAGTTGCTCAGCAAATACTAACTATCTAGGATAGATCTAGGAGTATTATCTGTTGTTGCTGGGCAAATACTAACTATCTAGGATTGATCTGGGAGTATTATCTGTAGTTGCTCAGCAAATACTAACTATCCAACAAGCTAAAGCAAGTCTAACTAAACAATTCCAGTTTGAAGGTAACTTTCTTTATAATTAACCAGGTAATTGACATAAGTTTTGAATAATAGAAAATTGAAGAATTAGAAGAAAATTCCAAAAAGTTTTAAACTACAATAATATTCTAATATATTAATGCCAAAGTTATAAGATAAGCATGTGCTTATATCCTAGGGAATGTGATAATTCATGCATTGTCTTTTTAAAATGTTACTTCGGTACAAGAACTTATTATCAATCATACACAACTAATCATATTTACAAAAAATAATTTGTTGACCAGCAATTAATATTTTTGCATCTTTCTATACCTTATAAAAATTGTACACACCAAATTAGTCTATTACAGAAATCTTTTTTTTTATTTTTTATCTTTGATAATTCAATTTTTCAAACATTTTTAAATACATAGAAAACCTATTTAGGTGTGTTGAAATATGTGTGTGCTGTACTAAAGAACTTAAAACAACTGTATTTAATAGAATAAAATTCAAATAAGAAATGCATTCTTTTCCAAAAGCTTTTAAGCATTGAACAATATCTCACGGCTTTATTTGTTGGGATATTTCACGCGCAACTAGATGTATCTTAATATTCTTTCGCTACATCACAAAAACAAATTCGTAAAAATTGAAAATGCAAAAAAAATCTAGTTTTGAACTGGTGAAAATGAACTGAAAAATAAAGACTTATATTGAAATATATCAAACCATAATATTTGAATTAGCGTTGTTTGAAATCTTTGAAATGAAGATTCTGCTTTGGTTTCATTTGCGGAAATTGAAAAAATATTAAAATCAACATTTTCTATAATATTTAGATTAGAATAAATAATTGGCGCCTGACTTAAAGTTTTTCAACAATTTTCTCAAGGGAAAGATCTCGAATTTTGATAAAGAACACCACTATTATACTCCTGTTTAAACTGGATTTGTTCTTATTTGATGTCAATCTACTTTTGCTCTTAAAATAATCCTCTCTTCTTCATGCAGCTGAATTGTAAAACTTTGCTTATCCTTTCTTCTATAATCATTGATTGATTGAAAGAATGTTTATTTAATATTTAGGAGTTGATTTACTATTAAATCCGTCCTGTTCTATTTTTATCACAATGAATACCACAAATCCATATGAAAACAGACAGGTCAGACATTTTACTTTTAATTAATATATTCATTGGTCTTGTATTATTTTCTTTTTTCCTTTTGATCAAAAGTTCTCGAGCATTTTTTGAAATTTTTGCTAGTTTTATTATGATGCACCCCTTTATATCATGTTGAAGCATCCTGTATAACCAAAGAGAATAGAATATATATTAGAGTGGAATTTACTAGAAAAAAGTGTAAAACGGCCATTTTGTTGTACTGTTTCCATACTGCAGAGCCCAAAACTTATGAAAGGGTATTGTTATGAAAACCAGTTTTGAAACCCGGGTTTTAAGAATGGGGTTAGGCATTTTTGTCGATATCAATATTTTGCTATAAAATATTTTCTTATTTAATTTCTTCAATATACTCCATTTTTTAAAATCTTTTTAATCAAAATCTACACAAATGTTAGGACCTCAAAATGGAAACTCGGGAGTTTCGTTCTACGATACTCTTTTAAATTTCGGGCTCTGGTGTACTTAACATATTTATGCTTTATAACCTTTTGGGCCCTGGAACATCATTTTATAGAAAATCTAAAATTAATATTAAAAATTTTATTTAACAGCTTTAAAAAACTTCTAGGGAACATACTGTATTTATGTACTCTACTGCATATAATTTGTGAATATTTACATGATTTGTACACTTCGAAGTCCCTTTCAGGCTGAAAGGGTCTGATAAAAATTCATACTGAGGGATTTTCTAAATTCCACTCTAATATATATTCTTTGTGTATAACTGGATCCTGTTTCACAATTTGATACATCCTTGCTTACTATTTTGATGCCTTCTGTTTTTCTATTTTGATGCACCCTGTTCCGTCATTTTGTTGCATCCTGTTTTATTATTTTGATGCATCCTGTTCTGTTATTTGGATGCATCCTGTTCTGTTATTTTGATGGACAATGTTTTACTATTTTGATACATCCTATTTTGTTATTTTAATGCATCCTGTTTTGTTATTTTGATGCATCGTATTCCGTTATTTTGTTGCATCCTGTTTTGTTATTTGGATGCATCCTGTTCTGTTATTTTGATGCATCCTCTTTTAATATTTTGATGCATCTTGTTTTGTTACTTTGATGCATTCTGTTTTACTACTTTGATGCATCTTGTTTTATTATTTTGATGCATCCTGTGTTACTATTTGATTCATAATTATAGCATCGTTGTTGCCACTCATATCTATTATGATAATCCCTCCTAAAGAAAAAAAATGATGAAATAGTTTGTTGAAATATAATTTATTAAAAATAATATTTCGGACAATATCATACCCTAATATTATTCCCTAGAGTTTACCAGACAATCTGAAACTATTATTCCGACCGGTTGCTATGACAACTCCGCAATTCGCCCTCATAGCAGAGGTAATCATTTAATCAGGATTTATTAATAGAATTCACATTCATAGCAGATAGGTAATCATCTAATCAGGATTTATTAATACAATTCGCCCTCATAGCAGAAAGGTAATCATGTAATCAGGATTATTAATACAATTTGCCCTCATAGCAGAAAGGTAATCATGTAATCAGGATTTATTAATACAATTTGCCCTCATAGCAGAGGTAATCATGTAATCAAGATTTATTAATATAATTCGCCCTCATGGCAGAGGTAATCATGTAATCAAGATTTATCAATATAATTCGTCCTCATAGCAGAGGTCATCATGCAATCAAGATTATTAATATAATTCACCGTTATAGCAGAGTTAATAATGCAATCAATATTTATTAATAGAATTCGTCCTTATAGCAGAGGTAATCATGTAATCAAGATTTATTAACAGAATTCGCCCTAATAGCAGAGGTAATTATGTAATCAAGATTTATTAATAGAATTCTCCCTCATAGCAGAGGTAATCATGTAATCAAGATTTATTGATAGAATTCGCCCTCATAGCAGAGGTAATCATGTAATCAAGATTTGTTAATAGAATTCACCCTTATAGCAGAGGTAATCATGTTATCAAGATTTATTAAAAGAATTCGCCCTCATAGCAGAGGTAATCATGTAATCAAGATTTATTAATAGAATTCGCCCTCATAGCAAAGGTAATCATGTAATCAACAAATATTAATAAAATTCGCCCTTATAGCAGAGGTAATCATGTAATCAAGATTTATTAATAGAATTCGCCCTTATAGCAGAGGTAATCATGTAATCAAGATTTATTAGTAGAATTCGCCCTCATAGCAAAGGTAATTGTAATCAAGATTTATTAATAGAATTCGCCCTCATAGCAGAGGTAGTCATGTAATAAAGATGTATCAATATATTTCGTTCTCATATCAGAGTTAATCAAGATTATTAATATAATTCACCCTCATAGTAGAGATAATCATGTAATCAATCTTTATAAATACAAGGGGTATATATTATATACATTTGGACGTATTTACCATTCAAGATGTAAAACATTTCTTTGAAAACAAGAGTGTTGACAATTCTTAATCATATTAAAACAAATAATTAATAGTAAATAATTTGGTTAAACCATTACTGTTTATTTCAAGGTTTTCCTATATTCTGTTGGATTCTTTGAAGCGAGGGTTCTTGCAAGGAAAATATATATTCTTTAATTAAATTTGTTAAAAATAGATTTTTATAATTTTGCCTGCAGGGTTGAGATACATGTCCTAGGTACAACTTTTCAAGGCCAGCTCATTGAATTAGTTCAAAAAAGTAAAAAAAAAATGCGTCGTTAAAATGTTGAAAAGTATTTCTTTATCTTTGCAAAAGATTGATGTTTGGTTCTGAAGGATGAGAAAGTGTTTGATAGTAAGACATATATATTCTTGTAAAAATGAAGAAAGACTTGATTGATATTAGAAAATTACCTCTTCTGTAGTATTGTTATGATAAGCTGGTTTCTGGAGAAGCTAATGCTAGGGTGAATCAAATTCCTTAAAAAATAAAAAAATTATCATTTTCATCATACGTTAAATTAAAAACAATATAGGTCAAGTTAGATAGTTCTAAGAATAGTTTCTTAATAACAAGGGTTTCAGATTCTAATCTATCATTAATAAATTCTAAATTTTATGTTAAGTATATACTCTGCTTCAAAAAGAGGGACATGTTAGATACACAATGGTACCCTTTAAACCTTTGTCAGAGCAAAAGTGAATTTTCATTTTGTTTTATGAATTGTGCCATTCAATTTTTTATGTTACATAAACTTAAATACTTTAATTTTGTTATTTTATATTTAAAAATATATATATGCACTATAGAAAAATAGTTGAAAGTTACAGACTTTGTTCCCTGTCTCTCTCCTCCCTGGCCCACTATGATTATGGAATGCGAGCTGTCAAAGCGGTGAGTAAATGAAACAGATTGGATAAATATATATTTGGGGGTTATATTGTATATAATTGTGAGGATTTAATGTGTACATTCAAGGGTTTATTGTGTACATTCTATATAAACAATATACTTCGGGTTCATTGTGTACATGCTTGGGGGGATCAGGGGCGGATCTAGCTCTTTAAAAAAAAGTGGGTTCAACTCACAATAAAAACTGTGATGGGGGAGGGGGGTAAGCACCAAGATAATCTTGTGTGCGAGGAGGGGGTGCAAGGGGGCGGAGCTCCCATATTTTTTTTAAGGTATTTGAACTTAAAGTGAGCATTTAAAGTGCTCAAAATAACAAGTTACTCTTAAAATATGTTAAAAATATTGGCACCTTAGTTAGAACTGTACACTTTCAAATTTTATATTCAGGACAAGAAAAATATTGACATATGAAAGGATTAGGATTAGGTTTTAAGTTGTAAAAAATGTAAAAAAATCACTAGTATGCGTAAAAATCTAAATTTTTTTAGTTTTACAAAAATGTGGTTTTTTTGCTTTAGATCGTTAAATTTTAATATTTATATATTCTGTAATTTGATTTATTGGGGAAAACAACCCATGGTTTCATTTTTGTAAAAACTGCATCTTTTAAACATTCCGAGTAGAATACAATTTTGCTTCTGTAGAATGATTTCTGAAAAATGTCTCAAAATTTCACACCCTTACTATCCTTTTAATGTCTCTGTAATGTTAATACAAACTATAATGTGTTAAATGCGATCCTGCAATCATAATAAAGTTAATTTTCAAAATAGGACAGAATCATATACAATTACTTAACAGCGTTGGTTAAAACATAAAATCGGATTTATGAAAATTAAAATTATCACGATGTATCAATTGATAAGGAATTTTTGTCAAAGCACCTAAAAGTATCTGCTAGAAAACAGTTACAGTCAAGGTTATAATGCAAGGAAAGTTATTACAGAGGTGTACATATCTTTTGTACTGCAGTGTACTGTCTCTGAGCGGTAATGTAAACACAAGACGGATATCACACATGGGATCCATCTTTCACATAAAAATATCAATGAAATATTCTGGTCATAGGAAACTTTGAATTATTAAAATTTTCAAAATTCAATACTTTTAATCTCCAGGGATACTAAACGAACACTGATGCATCTATTCTTGTTTACAAATTCCGCCCAGAGAGAACTGGTTTCAATATGTATGCAGAGTACACGCAACTGCAATTAACTTTCCTTGCATTATAACCTTGGTTACCGTAAACTGTTAAGTTAGTCTCTAGAAGGGGTTCATTGTACCGTACGTCACCGAGATGTCATCAAGATGTCTCTAGGTTGTCACCAGGATGTCACTAAGACGACACCGGGACGTCAAAAAAAAGTTCAAACTATGTTATTTTCCAGGTACTTGATGCTGCTCACAAGATTAAACTGTTAGCTGCTGAAGATGATGAACATGCAATAATACTCAAGGAAGATAATTTAAAAAGAATTATTTCAAAAAAGTTTATTTTCTAATTAATGAAATTAACAAACCCAATTTGGATTTGTTGTTTTTTAAAGCATTAAAACTCTTTGCTAATGCTTACACTAACAGAATACACTAAACTGACCTTTTTATTTGTGAATATTACTGTAGGCTCTGATGGACGTTAATATACCAAAGTTCTCTTCATCAGATGTACCGCTATTTAAGGTAAAATTCAAATCTGTTCTTTCTAGAAAATAAAGGAAATAGTAATTCAAAATGAGGATAAAAATGATAATGATAATAATGATAAGTACAATAATAATAATAATGATAATGAAAATATTGATATGGTAACAATATGGTTAAACTTAATTTCATGCATTTAACTAATTCTATTTTATAATTTTTTAGAATTTTTTATAAATATTGTATTTACTGAGGTTTAAAGCAGGGGACAATATAATTGGATTTGGGACAGAAAATTAAGTTTGGGTTTTGGGACCACATATGGAAATTTCGGGACAGGGAATGGATTTTTTGTGACAAAAATAGTTGGGATGGAAAATGACAATTAATAACCAGCATTTATAAAAAGAACAAGTAAATAAATCTCCCGGTGTTTTGGATGAAAAATGGAATTTTGGGACAAGAAAAGGAAATTGATGGGACTAAAGATGAAATATAAAACAAGCTCATAAAAGAATGACTAGTGAAATTGAAAAATTAAAACTGTTGAGACAGAAATTTTTAGTTTTTTTTCTGGGACAAAAAATGACTTGGAATGGGACCAAAAAACAAATTTTTAGAATTAAACGGATTGAAATTAAATTTAGCTAGTTTGTGTCTGCATTATGTTAATACAAAATCGGGGAAATAATTTACCCCTTCTTCTTTCTACCCAACCCCTCCCCTTTTATTCTGTTAACATGCCCTCCCCCCACTCCTACGACATTTGCTCTATTTACACTTGCTCTATAGCTCATAGATCACGACGTTTGATCTATATACCATCTGCTCTATGCGTCATTTGATCACTGACTAAACACATAATTTGCTTTATAAACAATATTTATGACTGTCTAGATCAATTTGCTCTGCATATATTACAATTATATTACGATATCTTCTGTTACAAATTTTATATTTTTAGAATAGTTTTCACCACTGATGAGCTTAGTCTTGTTCTTATTATTGAGCAGTCCCGCCATCTTGATCACCTTGGGAGAACTAATTCAAATTGAAAAATTTTAGAATTTGCGAATTTTCCCAAAAAGTAATTCCTGCAATTCAATAAAATTTGGTTTTTGTGCCAAAAACAGCGTTTTATATATACTCCATCATTCAACAGTTAACTAATCTTTTTAAACTATCTTTTCCGCTGTGAATTTTTCAAAGTCAAGTTTTGTTCAGTAATTCCTAAAAGTCTATTTTGTGATTTTTACAAAGTGCCTTAGCACTGAACATTTCCTTTCTTAGATAAGAGTTTTAACCACCGCACTTTATGTAGTATATCGTGTCAAATTTCCTTATTTAATAAAAAATACTTACGAAGAAGACTGCTTTTGGAGGGGGGAAATACAGTGCAAGAATTCCTAATCAATTCATTTTATAGCTTCTTTTTAGGTTATAGAGCATACATCGTGTTTCGTCACAGAGAAAATGTTATATATATTGAAGATGGTATTTAGAGCAAATGACGAAATAAGTAAATAACGTGATAGAGCAAATAGAACGTGAGTAAATGGCCATAGAGTATATGGAAATAGAGAAAATGTCGTAGCACCCCCTTTCCTACCTATATATCTTTAGATATAAAATGAACATAAATATGTTAAGAAATAATATTTCTAGACATGGTGTTATGATAATTGGAGAGACTATGAGTGCAAAAACACAGGTAACAGATCTAATAAATTCGTCTGTACTGACCTCGACCATACTAACAGCTGAATCTGTTCCCCTTACTAACCAGTTCCCTTTACTGATCAGTTCCCTTTACTGATCAGTTCCCTTTACTGACCAGTTCCCTCTACTGACCATTTGCCTTTGCTGACCATTTCCCTTAACTGACCTGTTCTCTTTACTAACAGCTGTTTCCCTTATTGACCTTGTTCCTCTTTTGACCTTGTTCCTTTATTGACACTGTTCATTTACTAAACCTGTTTCTTTACTCACCCTGTTTCTTTATTGCCCCTGTTTCATTATTGACACTGTTCCTTTGTTGACACTTGTAAGCATAGTTTAAAAATGTCTTTTATATAATGGTTAAATTCTTAAATGAACCTTTTTATTTTCTATAAATGTGCAAATTTTGTGAATTTCTGTTTTATACTTTTTTCAGACAATGCAATTTTACTGAAAACAGTAGTTGGGTGAAATTATCCTTTCGACCTAATGTCTTAACTTTATAAAATATTCTGACTGCACTATAAGTATGTTCCTACCAGGGTCCAGGGGGGGGGGGGNTCTTATCTTAAATATTGTAATTTTCTCATTTTTCTTCTTCATTAAATAAAAGAACTGTTCTTCTTTGTTCTATATATTCTCTTATCTTAAATATTGTAATTTTCTCATTTTTCTTCTTCATTAAATAAAAGAACTGTTCTTCTTTGTTCTATATATTCTCTTATCTTAAATACTGTAATTTTCTCATTATTCTTCTTCATTAAATAAAAGAACAGTTCTTAGTTCTATATATTCTCTTAAATTTAATACTGTAGTTTGTAATTTTTCTTCTTCATAACATAAAAGAACAGTGCTCAAAATAACACTTTTTCTAGAATACAACAATATTAAATTAAATTATTAATTAAATCAATTAAATTGTATTGAATTAAGCAGCTGATATATTTTATATATTTCCTGAAGAATATACCTGGAAGCAGTCAGTAAATTTTAAGCAGCAGATATTTATAATATATTTGATATATTTTCTGTAGAATAGAAACCTTGAAGCAGTCAGTAAATTAAGTAGCTGATATATTTGATATATTTCCTGTAGATTATATAACCTGGAAGCAGTCAGTGAAATAAGCTTCTGATATATATATATAATATATTTGATATATTTTCTGTAGAATAGAAACCTGGAAGCTGTCAGTAAACTAAGCAGCTGATATATATTTGATAGATTTCCTGTAGATTTTATAACCTGGAAGGAGTCAGTAAATTAAGCAGCTGATATATATTATATATTCGATATATTTCCTGTAGAATATAAACCTGGAGATGGTCAGTAAATTAAACAGCTGATATATATTTGATATATTTCCTGTAGAATATAAACCTGGAAGCAGTCAGTAAATTAAGCAGTTGATATATTTGATATATTTCCTGTGGAATATAAAACCTGGAAGCAGTCAGTAAATTAAGCATCTGATATATTTGATATATTTCCTGTAGAGTATAAACCTGGAAGCAGTCAGTAAATTAAGCGCTGACATATTTAATAAATATCCTGTAAATTATATAACCTGGAAGCAGTCAGTAAATTAAGTTTCTGATATATATTATATTTGATATATTNCTGACATCAATTTGGTAGATTTGTAAATAAGCATTCTTTATAAATCTCCAATGACTTTATTTCAAAATTAGATTTTTTTTATTAATTTCACGGGCAACGCCGGGCACTTCAGCTAGAATATTTATGATATTTATAATGTTTAAGGATATAATGAGAGACCTATTCCCTGGAACACGAGTACCTAGCTTAGAGAGAGAATACTTTATTCAGACTTTAAAGGTAAAAATGATCATCACAAAATGAAGCAAATATGACAAGTTTTGCAATCATGTATTTTTATCAAAAATGTTAATTTTTATAGTTCGAGAAATTGTTAGTTCAACAATATTTTCTATAAAACTCTGGCTAGTTTTTTTTTGAAGACTTTTTTTCGACTTTTATGATTTTAACCGTGTTCTTTCTGCCCCTATTGGTTTTTGTAAAAGACTTAAAAAGTATTGGTCTGATACTGTTGAAATATCTTAACTTTTTGATTAAATGAATTTCGCAATAGAATTGTTTTTTTTTTAATTTTATATTTTTTTTGCATTTTATTAAAGTATAGCCCAAGGAATTGTTCAAAACTGTACCGCACTATATTAGACTGTACCGTACTGTACTTACAAAAATGTATGAAATTGCAGGGATTTTTTGGGGGGTAGATGAGACGTCAGTAGGAATACGGTTAAAAATGACTGCAGCAGATGTGTTCTGTAGCTGTGATGACAAATTACAAAACATAAGTTTACGCGTATGCAGTATCCAATATCCATAAATTTACTAGTCTAGTTGGACATCAAGCCATTTCTTCAAAAAAAATTTTGGGAATTATTTTAATTTATGTTCCCTGTACAGTGTGTGCGCCATATTTTGAGGTTTATGTTTTGCTAAATCTGTTTTATTGGTTCAGGTTGGGATACTTCTAAAATATACTGCAGACTACTATGTTTCAGGTCCTGGGTTAATATTATCTATCTTATATATTTTCTAATATTGGAAGCACTTATTCTTAATTTATATATATTTATGTACATATAGTCTACCATACTGCAATATAAAATTTCTGCTTGTAGTTCAAACTCTAAAGGATCTGACACAAACTCTAATTTTTAAATTATTATACCTTTGCAACCTGATATTGCAGACCTTTCATTATTAAAACTATGAATTCTGATGGACAACATTTGAAAAATCAATGTTTACTCCTTCAGCAATTGTAACATAAGGTTAATACAAAAATAAATGTTATGAATTTTTCTGTTTAGAGCATCTGTTTTTAATCAAATAAAATTCTTTATTATATTGTATAGGCTGAAGCCTAAACATTTAAAGAGTTCATCGCGACCAGTCAGTTCTATTTGATGTCCCTGTCTCGAGAAAATTATATAAAACTTAAAGATGAATAAGTGTTATATTCAAATTTAATAGGAGCGTACCTTAAATCTTTAGACAACTCTGGATTAGCCTAATCTTCAGATTTGTTCCGTATTTACTGAATATGATCTGTTTAAAACTTTAATTCATATACCATATGGTGGTTGGTATAACTTTGACACAGTTTTATATCGAATTCCCTAGACAATGACATCAGATAGAACTAATAATGGTCGTGATCAACTCCTAAAATTCTTAGGTATCAGCCTATACCCCCTTTCATTTTACCTTAACAGTCCCTTTAATATAATATATGAAAATAGTTAAAATTATAATAACAAAGACTTGTGGAATGTTAAGATTTGCACACAAGTGTATAGAAAATCTTTAATCCCCATTAAACTTCAATGGAACGTGAAATAGATTCAGAAGCTTGAAAAACTTCTTTTATCGATGTTTCTTTACACCAAATACATTCTTGCCGGATAGATAAAAACAAGAATGTATTTACAGCAGTCTAGTAGATGAATGTGTTCCTTTAAACTGTAGGATATTTCGAACTAGGATTCTTTCAGAAATGTTTGGAACTTTATGAAAAAGATCAAATCCAAACTGCTCTACTTATTGATTGAAGATAATCTAAACATCTATTTTATTGGCAATTTAGATGATTTTTACAGATGTTTTTACAGGAAAACTTTGGTTTATAACTTTACTTTGTTTAATTTAGAACTTTGCTCCAAAGGAACTGAAAACTCGTCTCAAAATCTAATTTTCTAATTCCTAGGATTTTAAGCTAATGAACTCTGCTAGATGAAATATAAAATTATCAGATTTCAAAATTAAAAAATTGTTTTTGAGAATTTTTAATTTAGAAGCCACGATTTTAAAGCTTAGTCTCCAGCTTAAATCCCTTAATCTCTACTCTCACGTTTAAAGTTAGGTCTGACGTTTTTGTAATTTTCTGGAAGTGATTTCCAGCTTAACCCATTAGTGACGAGACAAATAATTCTTTCTGATCTTGATGAAATTCACAGTGTTAACTCACTATACTGTCCATAGAGTAGATCTAAAGTTTCAATTTTTTTCAATGAAGGGTTGTGGAGATACAAAACCCGGCACATTTTGTCCGTCTCGGCATCGGTCAAAATTGACCGTCTCGTCACTAATGGGTTAATACTCAGACCACTTTTCCTGAAGTCAGAACTTTTGTGTTGTGAATCAGGAGTCTGGGGATCAAGCATCTGATGCAGACCCTCATATTAATCTAATTCTTTTATAAAATACCCAGGTGGTCATACCCCGCAAGTGATTACTCTAATTGAGGGGTGGGGTCAAAAGTCTATCCTAAAATTGAATACTAATAGGATATCAAAAATCAAGATCAAGCATTCAAGAAAATGATTCTCAACTCAATACAAGAATTCCGTCCTCTGATTTAATCAGAAAAATGTAATGGTTATGAGAAATTTATTAGTTTAAGAAAGAATGGTAGCTAATTGATTTGATTCTAATTGCATAATGTTTATAAATGTTCAGGAAGTGTGTATGAAGCGTGGACTCCAACCAACTGAATGGATGATTGGGAAAATTCTTCAAATCTATGATATGCTAATTGTCAGGTAAAGAAATTGAGTCTTTGTCACAAACTCAGATTTTCTAATCCCTATATCTTTGTAGCCCAATGTCGTAGACCTTAGATATTTCAAACTATGAACTCTGGTAGATCAAATAATCAAAGTTTGAAATATCAAAGGTTAAGACCATCTAGTTACTAAGATTTAGGGATTAGAAAATTTGAGCTTGTGTCAAAGACTAAATTCCTTTGAATTAAATAAGGTTGACTGTATTCCATACAATTTTTTTTTAAAAGAATTACTTAACTTTTTCTTGGAGCTAATTTTACCCTGAAATTAAACCCTGTACGAAAATTCAGAAGGGTTTGAATTTTTTTATCTCCTTGGAAATTTTTAGGTGAAATAATAATTAAATTTTGTGGATTTTTAATGAAAATATATTTGACTGCTAAATAGATATGCAATATATTTTACAAAAAAATAATATTTTATGTTGAGCTTGTTGAGCATTTTATCAAAAATACTTTTTTGAATAAAAATGAAAATTACAAAATTATTTGAAATAGAAATAAAAATGACGCCAAGGTGGAATTTTCAGAGTAAATCTAGCTACTCTGAATTGTCCCCATCTGCTATTTATATTTTAAAGCTCTTGTTCATACTTATATATATATATATATTTATATATGTCAGCTATAGCAGGCCAGACGGCTGCGCCAAATTGGCTGAATGTTTTTGAGGTAACCCAGGAAAATCCCAAGGATAACGCAGGCTAAAAATTTTTCAAATTTTTTTCTTCATATTTTAAAAAAAATTCTACGGGCAACGCCGGGGACTTCAGCTAGTCTTTAATACAGATATAAAATGAACATAAATATGTTAAGAAATAATATTTCNTATACTTCTTCTACTAGAGCAGAATAACAAAAATGGGTCATTATGTTTAAAGTATGTTTTGAATTTTATTTATATAAAAGCTTTATCTTAATGTCAGCAGGGCTTATATATCCAATCATAAAAAACAATAGAAAATATTCTAGACTAAGAATATTCTAAGAAGATATATATATATAATAATATAATATATATAATATATTTATAAATTTGACTTATCTGTTTGTTTGTATCCAGTAAACATCTAAATGGCTGAACCGATTTTGTGTAAATTGTATTGTGACAACTCAAATAATGGTTTTCAGAACGGTCAATATTAAAAATTTTTGCTTAGCAAAAAGTCTTCTTAAACAATTTTTGGAAATCCAATAATTTAAACATTTTACAAATTGCAAAAATATTTGTTTATGGATTAGGATCAGGAATTGGCGGCTTGTAAATTTTCAGTTAAAAACACTGTAAGCGAACAGAGACCCTAATCCATGCAAAGATATCAATGCCCCATATTCATCGGTACCCGTACAAACATTAATCTGATCAAAATGTGAAAGAAAATGTATCTGTATACAGTACAATATAGTTGTATCTTTATACAGTACAGTAAAGTTGTGTCTTTATACAGTACAGTATAGTTGTATCTGTATACAGCACAGTATAGTTGTATCTGTATACAGTACAGTATAGTTGTATCTGTATACAGCACAATATAGTTGTATCTGTATACAGTACAGTATAGTTGTATCTGTATACAGCACAGTATAGTTGTATCTGTATACAGTACAATATAGTTGTATCTGTATACAGTACAGTATAGTTGTATCTGTATACAGCACAGTATAGTTGTATCTGTATACAGTACAATATAGTTGTATCTGTATACAGCACAGTATAGTTGTATCTGTATACAGTACATTATAGTTGTATCTGTATACAGCACAGTACAGTTGTATCTATATACAGTACAGTATAGTTGTATCTGTATACAGCACAATATAGTTGTATCTGTATACAGCACAACTTAGTTGTATCTGTATACAGTGCAGTATAGTTGTATCTGTATACAGCACAACTTAGTTGTATCTGTATACAGTGCAGTATAGTTGTATCTGTATACAGCACAGTATAGTTGTATCTGTATACAGTACAATATAGTTGTATCTGTATACAGTACAATATAGTTGTATCTGTATACAGTACAGTATAGTTGTATCTGTGTACAGTACAGTATAGTTGTATCTGTATACAGTACAATATAGTTGTATCTGTTTACAGTACAGTATAGTTGTATCTGTATACAGTACAATATAGTTGTATCTGTATCCAGTACAGTATAGTTGTATCTGTATACATTACAATATAGTTGTATCTGTATACAGTACAGTATAGTTGTATCTGTATACAGTACAATATATTTGTATCTGTATACAGTACAATATAGTTGTATCTGTATACAGTACAGTATAGTTGTATCTTTATACAGCACAGTATAGTTGTATCTGTGTACAGTACAGTATAGTTGTATCTGTATACAGTACAGTATAGTTGTATCTGTATACAGTACAATATAGTTGTATCTGTTTACAGTACAGCATAGTTGTATCTGTATACAGTACAATATAGTTGTATCTGTATACAGTACAGTATAGTTGTATCTGTATACAGTACAATATATTTGTATCTGTATACAGTACAATACAGTTGTATCTGTATACAGTACAGTATAGTTGTATCAGTATACAGCACAGTATAGTTGTATCTGTGTACAGTACAGTATAGTTGTATCTGTATATAGTGCAATATAGTTGTATCTGTATACAGTACAGTATAGTTGTATCTGTGTACAGTACAGTGCAGTTAAGTATCTTTATTGACTTTAGAATAAATGTAAAATGTTTTGAAAAATGAAAAGCACAGAAAAGAAAATATAAATCTCTGAATAACTTGACAAAATACGATAAATCTTGTAAAACAGATTCTAAACATGTACATTTTACATTATACATACATTCTACATTGCAGAACAACATCCTAACCTAACCACAAAGTATCTGGATAAAATTTCCCTTCTTCAAAATCAAATGAAGAAAAAAATATGTTTTTTTATAATAAACACCCAGAAGTAATTATGTAATTTATGATCAACTAAAAATTACTTCATAATCACTATATCTTTTGCAACCCATGGTGATATAAACCGTTCATTGTTGAGGTTGTAGAGTACACAGTTTCCTGATCCAGTCCAACTATGCCAACATAATATCTGAACACATGTGATACATGATGTTCCTTTGATTTGATTGAAAAAAATTAATTACATCCAACTTCTACTTGTTATTTAAAAATATACTTAAAAATCTCTTAATTATTTATAAAGCTGACTAGATTACGTTGAAACAGAATGTTCACGAAATTAAAATACATTAATTCATATTTGTGTGTTAAAATACATCATCCTAATAATAATAATAATAATAATAATATATCATTTAATGGTGTTTACCTTGAATATTTCCGACTTTGACTATTTGCACTAACAAAATTCATACCTTAAAATATCTAAGGTCCATAACATCAGGTTGCAAAGATAAAAAAATAATTAAATTACACAGCTTGTGTCACAAATCAAAACTTTTACCCATGAGTGCAGATTGTCCTTGCATTTCCTAATTTAAACAAAAGATACCTGTAAAATCTTTTCTTCAGAAAAACTAACGTATCTTTTAACCCTTTTCAAAATCAATTTTTGCAATGCAACTATTTCTTTTTAGATGAACTAATATTTGTTTATTATCTAGACGTATGCTGTTCTAGCAGAAACTATGTCAGGAATTGCTGAGAAAGCTATTCCAGCCCAACATGAATTCAAGGTTGGTTTAGCTTTACAGTGAAATACAATTGTTTTTTTCTTTAATTGTATATTTGCCTCTAATTTTGTATTCTTTTTTGATTGTATGATTTTTCTTTGATTGTTTTTTTTCTTTAATTGTATATATTCCTCAAATTGTGTATTCTTTTCTGATTGTATAATTTTTCTTTGATTGTATAATTTTCCTTTGATTAACTTTTTTCTTTAATTGTAGATTTTCCTCAAATTTTGTATTCTTTTTTTGATTACATATTTTTCTTTAATTGTATATATTCCTCAAATTGTGTATTCTTTTTTGATAAAATGGGTTTAAAGCGTCCGAGAATAAAAATGGTGTTAAAAACGTTTAAGAATGAAAAATGGGTGTTTAAACGCCCAAGAATTAAAAATGGGTTTAAAACGTCAAAGAATGAGAAATGGGCTTAAAACGTAAAATAATAAATAAGGGGTTTAAAAAAGTTTAAGAAAAATGGGGTTTTAAACCTCCAAGAATGAAATATAATTTAAAACGTGAAAGAATGAAAAATTTGTTTAAAACGTCAAAGAATAAAAAATGGGTTTAAGACGTCAATAATAAAAAATTTAAGAATGAAAAACGAATAAGAATAAAAATTCGGTTCAAAAACGTCCAAGAAATGGGGGTAGAAACGTCAAAGAATGAAAAATGGGTTTAAAACATCAAAGAATGAAAAATGGGTTTAAAACGTCAAAGAATGAAAAATGGGGGTAGTAACGTCAAAGAATGAAAAATGGGTTTAAAACATCAAAGAATGAAAAAATGGGTTTAAAACGTCAAAGAATGAAAAATGGGTTTTAAAATGACCAAGAATGAAAAATTGGTTTATTAACGTCCAAATACTAAAAATGGGTTCAAAAACGCCCTAGAATGAAACAAAGGGTTAAACATGTTCAAGAATAAAAATTAATTTAGAAACGTGCAAGAATGAAAAATGGTCTTTAAAAACGTCCAAATAAAATTCTGCTTTTAATGGTAAAGAATGGACTTAGAAAGAAACACCAGAAGCTCGAGGATTTTAGTTTTTAGAATTATATTAAAAAATAAGTAAATCTTTGAACCAAGAATGGTTTACTTTAAAATTTTAGGTTGAAAATATTTTCCCAGAAATCTTTACAAGAGTTGTAAGAGGTGGAATAAAATATCAATTTATCAATAGTTTATATAGAACTGAAATCCCTATTCAACTAACCATATATGGTTGGAATGGGGGGGTTATTAGTAGATCAATGTCAAGCCATTGGACACGATCTCAGAAGCTATCGATGTCAACCGGACACTATTTTGTAACCTATTAACCGAAAACCAATGGGCGATACCTATTCATTTGAAGCACAGCTTTCAAATGAAGAATGGGTTTTACGTAGAAATTTACAAACGTTGATAGTTAATAATGTACAATGTACTTCAGATTTACAGAGATCGTGTTACTCAATATTTCTAATAAATGTTGAACCATGTAGGCCTATATTCACAAATCGCATTGTGTGTTTTTAAAAAAAGAAAATAAATAAATAAAAAAGTACCTACATACCTTCTACTGTTTTCTGAAAGGTTAAGTAATCAATAATACTCTAAATCTAAATCAACTGTATTTCTAGGTTCAGTATTCAATTATCAACCCTAAATCTAAATCAACTGTATTTCTAGGTTCAGTATTCAATACTCAACCCTAAATCTATAACCTTGAATCAACTGTATTTTTAGGTTCAGTATTCAATAATCAACCCTAAATCTATAACCTTGAATCAACTGTATTTCTAGGTTCAGTATTCAATATTAAACCCTAAATCTATAACCTTGAACCACCTGTATTTTTAGGTTCAGTATTCAATAATAAACCCTAAATCGGTAACCTAGAATCAACTGTATTTATAGATTCAATATTCAATAACCAACCCTAAATCTATAACTTTGAATCAACTGTATTTCTAGGTTCAGTATTCAATAATAAACCCTAAATCTATAACCTTGAACCACCTGTATTTCTGGGTTCAGTATTCAATAATCAACCCTAAATCTATAACCTTGAACCAACTGTATTTCTAGGTTCAGTATTCAATATTAAACCCTAAATCTATAACCTTGAACCACCTGTATTTCTAGGTTCAGTATTCAATGATAAACCCTAAATCTATAACCTTGAACCACCTGTATTTCTAGGTTCAGTATTCAATAATCAACCCTAAATCTATAACCTTGAACCAATTGTATTTCTAGGTTCAGTATTCAATAATCAACCCTAAATCTACAACCTTGAACCACCTGTATTTCTAGGTTCAGTATTCAATAATCAACCCTAAATCTACAACCTTGAACCAACTGTATTTCTAGGTTCAGTATTCAATAATCAACCCTAAATCTATAACCTTGAACCACCTGTATTTCTGGGTTCAGTATTCAATAATCAACCCTAAATCTACAACCTTGAACCACCTGTATTTCTAGTTCAGTATTTAATAATCAACCCTAAATCTACAACCTTGAATCAACTGTATTTCTAGGTTCAGTATTCAATAATCAACCCTAAATCTATTACCTTGAACCAACTTTACGGATGTTTTGATCCTCTTACTCATGAATGTAAAGATATTCAGTGTGCATTAATTTATTCATTAAAAACGATAAATGATAAGTTAGCATTTATTGCCGCTCTGAAATTCATAAATATTGACCAATTTATTTAAAGCATATATGTAGTTTATCTTTTACTTCGATATGGAGTCTAGAAATACATCATTGGATTTCATGTTATAAGGATATAAGTCCATAATCCGAAGTAACAAAAATATCCAATAATATATTAAATCTTTACAATTTTTTGGGAAGTTTTGCTGATCCATATTTGATAAAATGTTATTAATAAATGTGTTTAGAGAACCTAAACACTGTACTGGATGACAGTAAGAAACTGTGTTTAATGAGTGGAGAAATTGTTTATCTCTCTTCATGGATGAGAATTATATTTGAGGTTTCACATCTTAACTTTGCTACACCAGCCACTGTATCCAGGTTAATAATTCAATTCAAGAAATTGGAATTTGATTTAATAAACCACAGTTTATTTGAATATTTTTAATTTAATGGAATAATTTTGAGTTTCACGGAAGAAATTTGTGTTTCACGAAATAAATTTGAATTTAATAAATGAAATTTGAATGTAATGGAAAAATTATGAGTCTAATTAAATCAAATGAATTTAATAGAATACAATCGATCATGTTGCATTTGTCCAAGATTTTAAAAATCTCTAAATAATGGAATAAAATTCAATAAGAATACGTTGTTCTAAATATAGATCTAATATGGTACAGAATATACCAATGGTGTTGATACAACAAACTTATAGCTTTTAAATCTAAAAATAAAACCCCTTGGGTCGTGTAATGGGAACCTTAAAACTGTGTAGGATGTTGTTACATGTATTCTAACAATCAGCTTTAACATCAACTTATACTTGATCCTGATGTTTACATAGCACAGTGCACAATTGCTGTTTTTCGTTTTCATTGGACTATTTTAAATCTTAACCAGAGTTTTAAAGTCTTTTTCCTATTCCAAAATTGTATGGTTTCCACTGTATAGGATAGGATGATAGGATTGAAGGTTTAAATCTGTAAACCATCGTGGACTAGGGTCAATTTGAATTCGAACCGGACCAACCCCTTGTACTGGCCTTAGTAACGCACAGCATGTACCGGCCCGACCAAATTCATGCTGACTCGGTTTGAATTTTAATGGCGCGGCCAGACTTTTTACAGTACACGCCCTGTCATACGCATATTTGACATATCCTACAAGCTTAGTTTAGTATAAACTGTTAAGGTGTGGGATGATATACATGGAATCCTCTCATCTGGGCTGGAGACCACTCAAGGAAGCATTGAAATAATCACTTAGCAGTGTATTATGTATTCTATTATAATTTATGCATGCTAGGAGTATTCTAACACTGATACACTATGCATTTATAACACGTATTTTAATAGTTTATTAAGTATTGTAAAACTATTGTTTTTTAAATTTCAACAGTGTTTTATGTATTCCAACAGTGTATTATGCAGTCTAGCAGTGTACTATGTATTTTAACAGTGTAAAGCATGTTCTATCAGTGTATTATTTATTATAACAGTGTATTATTTATTCTAACGGTTTTCTATGTGTTCTAACAGTGTATAATGTTTTTAACAGTGTATAACGTATTTCAACACATTGCTATGCATTCGTAACATGTTTTTTAATAGTGTATTATGTATTATAACAGTGTATTATTGATGTTTTGTACTTTCCCTAAGGCTTTTACCCAAGCGGTAAGTTTCTTAGGGTACTTTTCCGAGTAGCAACTTCCCAACAGAGCTATTTCTGAAGCAGCAACTTCTCAAGTCTGTTCTAACCGCAGCGCTTGGCCCCCAGTGCAGCCTGCTACGCTTCAGTACACCTAACTTAACGATATATAGCGTGGAAACAGCTCACCTGCTTCTCCTTCTCTTCAGGGAATCTACTCTGTATGGAAGGAGAGAACGCGTGTAGCAAACAAGTAGATGGTGGCATATCCAGACGGTTCTTCATTCTTTCTGTAACAGCAGAGCTTCTGGATATTTGACCTCTGGGGTACACAAGACATATTAATAAAATAAGACAGTACTGAAGTTTTGTCTAGGGCACTCCAGGGGTCAAACATCACGAAGAGATGCTCTGCTGTGGCTGGTCACACCACAGCTGTAAATTATCAGAATCCTTAATATAATAAATGTCAGTAGTCTAATATAATGTCGTAACCTGTGGGAAGTTACAACTTGGGAAATTCCACATTTGGGAAGTTACAACTTGGGAAATTGTCACACGGAAAGTTGCCCTTTGGAAAATGCCTTTGGGAAAATACCTACCGCTTCATAACGTATTCTAGCAGTGTATTATTTTACATTTGTTTATTTCTGTTGAACATAAGGAATCCTTCTTGTTAACCTTACCTGCCGCCTTTACTCAAGAACAGGTTGGATAACTTATAATTCATATATTTACTCATAAGATATACATACAATACTTTTTTAATCCATTTGACCTGGAAAATTTACTATATTTTAATCTTATATTTATGATTGACTAAAATTTGTTCCCCATAAAATAACCTCTGTTTTTATCATTAGGTTTTTCATTTCTAATTTGTTTACAAAATAATGCAGAATTAGATAAACATTCCCTTAGATTAGATAAATTGTATTTTTTTTCTCTCCTAAAATGTTCCAAAATACTGAAATAATGCTGAAACTGTTAAATATTTATCAGACACTCACAAATCTTCAGGATTTGTTTCAACAAATTTAAAATTTTCAAATTCAAAAAAAATAATAATATTTTTGCTCCTCACACAATTCTTTTTTTACATTTTTAGTTTTATTTCCTACAATTTCTTAACTTTATTCATTTTCCGCGCGGTTTTAATAATATTTTTTTTACAAAAATATTTTACACTTTTGTTTACACGTTTTTCGAGATATGAGACAAGTTTGGTTTGAGATATGTTTGATTTAGACAAGTTTGGTTCGAGATGTGTTTGATTTAGATATGTTTGGTTCGAGATATGTTTGATTGGCTGATTCCTGGTTCCCTACCCTTGATTAAACAATCCAGTCTAAATGTCAAATACAGGGATCACCAACTTTCAAATCTTCTGATCGTGTAATAGTATTTCGTGTAATAATATTTCTTGTGGATTATAAACAAAGATTTTTGCTTTTCTCAAATTCTTATAAAACAACTTTTGGAATCCGTGATCGCGGGACCAATTCAAGGCAAACAAATTTATGTTTCAATTGGTTTAGTCATTACAACGTTTACTGGATACAAACATACAAAGAATTTTTACTCCTATTGTTTTGGTACTTAATCCCAAGTTGATCCTCGAAGAGGTTATCGTGTATGCCCCTGTGGCTAATTATATAAGTTACTTGAATGGGATTTCTCTAATGAAATATTCAGTCAGCAAAGTTTTTAACATTAGCAAACTTTTATTTTGTACATTGTACAACAATTCAAAAACAAGAAGAAACTGGTTTTAAATATGCAAATTTTTACACATTTTCAGAAATAGGAAAACAGGAAGAGGGAACACAGGAATATAAAGGGATCGTATAAGTAGCAGGAGTAGATTAAGAGGTTGGTAAAATATAATCCACGAAAGTGAAATAAAATAAACAAAGTCACTGTTTGATAAAGTTACCAACATTCTTTTTTTTGCCGGGATTGTGAAGATCAAGAGAGGACAATCAAATGTTTGCATATTTAGGGCCGAGGGAAGTTCTGTGCTATATAGTATGGAAGGGGAAGGTTGAAGAGGGAATTCTGAAAATCCGATACTATTCAAGAATTTGTTTTAAATATCGTTTCTAACATATTTATGATCCAAGTCCAGGGAAGGATTTCAGCAAGAAATCGAAGAATGTTTATTTCCAACAGGGAATGTTTTTTAAATTATTATTGTTCTCATTTTTATAAATAGTGACGTTGGTCAGTTTTAGAAAAATTAAGTTTATAATTTAGCTTTGTTGGATCACGATTGAAATATATTTGTAGGATGAAATAATTCTGTATCAGATATGTTTAAATTCGCCTGTATCAGACTGGTTTCTATTCTCCTGTATCAGACTGGTTTACATTCTCCTGTATCAGACTGGTTTCTATTCTCCTGTATCAGATTGGTTTACATTCTCCTGTATCAGACTGGTTTACATTCTCCTGTATCAGATTGGTTTCTATTCTCCTGTATCAGACTAGTTTCTATTCTCCTGTATCAGACTAGTTTCTATTCTCCTGTATTAGAATAGTTTCAATTTTTTGTATCAGACTAGCTTCTATTTTACTGTATCAGACTAGTTTCTATTCTCCTGTATCAGACTCGTTTCTATTTTTCTGTATCAGACTAGTTTCTATTCTCCTGTATTAGACTAGTTTCTATTCTCCTGTATTAGACTAGTTTCTATTCTCCTGTATTAGACTAGTTTCTATTCTCCTGTATTAGACTAGTTTCTATTCTCCTGTATTAGACTAGTTTCTATTCTCCTGTATTAGACTAGTTTCTATTCTCCTGTATTAGACTAGTTTCTATTCTCCTGTATTAGACTAGTTTCTATTCTCCTGTATTAGACTAGTTTCTATTCTCCTGTATTAGACTAGTTTCTATTCTCCTGTATTAGACTAGTTTCTATTCTCCTGTATTAGACTAGTTTCTATTCTCCTGGATTAGACTAGTTTCTATTCTCCTGTATTAGACTAGTTTCTATTCTCATGTATTAGACTAGTTTCTATTCTCCTGTATCAGACTAGTTTCTATTTTTCTTTCTTATTTCGCAAACGTTTTCGCAAAATTTCACATTTTTTCACGAAAACGAATTTTACAAAGGAAGTAAAAATTATGCACAAGGAATTAAAAACAAATACAAAAAATTATAAAATTTTAGCGAATTAAAAAATGCAAAATTTGCCGAAGTTAAGTTTGAAATGGTGATTGTGCAGTGAGATGCATCTAGTCCAGGCATTTATTCGACTTTTCTCTGCTCTTATGAAGTTTAATACACTTAGGAACATTCAACATATTCATTCAATATATTCATTAATTCATTTATTCATTTATTTACCTACCTATTTATTGATTTATAATTTAATCATTTGTTCATTTATTTATTTATTAATTTATTTATTAATCTATTCATTTGTTCATTCAATATATTCAATTATGAATTTGTTTACCTACTTAATTATTTAATTAATATATTCATTTATTCATGTCTTTATCTAATTATTTATTCATTTATAATTTAATCATTTGTTCATTTATTCCTTTTTTCATAAATTCATTCCATTGACATTGATAAATTAAATAATTTAATGTTACAAAGTTTTTTTTTGTTTTAAAAAGTTTTGAGTATTTTGAATGAGAAGGGAAGGGAAGGAGAAAGTAGATTCTACTTTCCTTCAAATGTCTTTTCTGTTCTCCGTGATCTGGGGACTGTGTTCTACCCTAACCGCAGAGTCAAGGAAGAAATTTAATCTACACTTTAGGAATGTTCAACAAACTACATTTCAAGAAAGTATCATTTGTTTTTTAAGCCTCAAACTAAGAAATTCAGAAGACAAAAGATGTATTTTAGCATGAAAGACATTACCTTGAAATACTTAAATACACAAAATTGAGATGTATTTTAGGCAAACGTAAAACAGACTGCAGACTGCAGTGTATGGCTATTGCCTAAAACCAACGCTCTCAGAGCATTACATTGAGTTATGTACTAATTCTATTTTTTCTAAATAAACTAAAAATTTAGAATTCACACAACCTCAAAATATATTCTATATATTTTGACTATATTCTATATAATTTGAATATATTCTATATATTTTGAGTGGTAATAATGGTGAAAATGGGCTGTTTTTTATCGTTAAATAAGCATAAAACAGCATCTTTTGCTGTTTTTCCGGGCTAAGTTTAGAGGTGTCCATAAAGGGTTAAATTCCAAGTTTAATCTAACTTCTCAACATTATACTGGGCACACTACCCTATAACTTCACCTTAGGACTCAGAATAAAGGATTAAGGACGGAAACTGGTCGCAATGAAGACAATAATTAGATCCACTGAGAATACAAAACAGAAAAGAGTAAATTTAAAAATTTAAGTAAGATAATTATTTGTCTTTGTGTCTTTATTCCCCTCTGTATTCCCCGGTCATAAACCCTCTCTCCTTGTATTCTCTAGTTACTAAGGGTATAGAATAGATAGCCTGTAATTATACTGCTAAACCAGGTTAATTTAACTAGGTTAGAGGTTCCTAGGGTATAGAATAGATAGCCTGTAATTATACTGTTAAATCAGGTTAATTTAACTAGGTTAGAAGTTCCTAGTGTTCTCTAGTCATAGGATGTCTCATTGAAACTTTCTTATTATCATTAATCACCCTTTTATAGAGATAAGTTTTTAAACATTGTAGCTTGATGAACTATCCTACAATATAGGAACCTAGTCGAGGGAATGGTAAAAGGGTTTGCCAAGCCATCAACTTTTAGACTTGCCAGATCTAACCTTATACCAGAACAGGTAAACCTAATACCAGAACAGTTAAACCTAATACCAGAACAGTTAAACCTAATACCAGAACAGGTAAACCAAATACCAGAACAGGTAAAACTAATACCAGAACAGGTAAACCTAATACCAGAACAGGTAAACCCCATACCAGAACAGGTAAACCCAATACCAGAACAGGTAAACCTTAAACCAGAACAGGTAAACCTAATACCAGAACAGATAAACCTAATACCAGAACAGGTAAACCTAATACCAGAACAGGTAAACCTAATACCAGAATAGGTAAACCTAATACCAGAACAGGTTAACCTAATACGAGAACAGGTTAACCTAATACCAGAACAGGTAAACCTAATACCAGAACAGGTAAACTTAATACCAGAACAGGTAATCTTAAACCAGAACAGGTAAACCTAATACAAGAACTGGTAAACCTAATACTAGAACAGGTAAACCTAATACCAGAACAGATTAACTTAATACCAGAACAGGTTAACCTAATACCTGAACAGGTAAACCTTAAACCAGAACAGGTAAACTTAATACCAGAACAGGTAAACCTTAAACCAGAACAGGTTAACCTAATACCAGAACAGATAAACCTAATACAAGAACAGATAAACCTAATACCAGAACAGGTAAACCTAATACCAGAACAGATAAACCTAATACCAGAATAGGTAAACCTAATACCAGAACAGGTTAACCTAATACGAGAACAGGTTAACCTAATACCAGAACAGGTAAACCTAATACCAGAACAGATAAACCTAATACAAGAACAGATAAACCTAATACCAGAACAGGTTAACCTAATACAAGAACAGGGAAACCTAATACCAGAACAGGTAAACCTTAAACCAGAACAGTTTAACCTAATACCAGAACAGATAAACCTAATACCATAGCAGATAAACCTAATACCAGAACAGGTTAACCTATTACAAGAACAGGTAAACCTAATACCAGAGCAGATAAACCTAATACCAGAACAGGTTAAGCTAATGCCAGAACAGGTAAACCTTAAACAAGAATATATAAACCTAATACCAGAACAGGTTAACCTAATACCAAAGCAGGTAAACGTAATACCGGAACAGTTAAACCTAATACCAGAGCAGGTAAACCTAATACCAGAGCAGGTAAACCTAATACCAGAGCAGGTAAACCTAACACCTTATTTTACCAGAATCCGTAAACCTAATACTAGAACAGGTAACCTGATACCAAAACTCATAAACCTTTTACCAGAACTCGGAGACTTAATACTAGAATATGTAAACTGAAGTTTTATCAGAGTTCCGCCAATTTTTTCAATACTTTAAACAAGGGCTTCTACTGAAAACTATTTTACTGACATTTTGTGCGGAATAATTGGTTTTACGCAAAAATTGCTACTTTGAAGTCCTTATTCAAAATAACAAAAAAATTTTGTGATATGTGTATCTTCAAAATTGTGAAAAATCGTAAAATATAAATATTTGGATGCTCTCTAGGGATCTGTGTTTGACTATATGTTGGTTGAGAGCGTAGATCAACCCTGGTGTTTGTGGCAGGACAAGGTTAGAATATTATTTTTATTCATTCTTTATTCTTTTAAATTTTTATTTGTAAACTGTTATCTACTGGTTATCTACTGGTTATCTACTTGTTATCTACTTGTTATCTACTGGTTATCTACTGGTTATCTACTGGCTATCTATGAATTATCTACTGATAATCTACTGGTTATCCACTGGCTATCTACTGGTTATCTATTAATTATCTACTGGTTATCTACTGGTTATCTACTCGTTATCCACTGGCTATCTACTGGTTATCTATTGATTATCTACTGGTAATCTACTGGTTATCTCCTGGTTATCTATTGTTTATTTACTGAATATCGAATGGTTACTGGTTATCTACTGGATATCTACTGGATATCTACTGGATATCTACTGGTTATCTACTGGTTATCTACTGGTTATCTACTGATTATCTACTGGTTATCCACTGGCTATCTACTGGTTATCTATTAATTATCTACTGGTTATCTACTCGTTATCCACTGGCTATCTACTGGTTATCTATTAATTATCTACTGGTAATCTACTGGTTATCTACTGGTTATCTACTGGTTATCTATTAATTATCTACTGGTAATCTACTGGTTATCCACTGGCTATCTACTGGATATCTTTTAATTATCTATTGGTAATCTACTGGTTATCTACTGGTTATCTACTCTTATCCACTGGCTATCTACTGGTTATCTATTAATTATCTACTGGTTATCTACTTGTTATCTACTGGTTATCTACTCGTTATCCACTGGCTATCTACTGGTTATCTATTGATTATCTACTGGTAATCTACTGGTTATCTCCTGGTTATCTATTATTTATCTACTGAATATCGAATGGTTATTTACTGATTATCTACTGGTTAACTACTGGTTATCTACTGGATAGCTTCTAAATATCACTGGTTATCTACTAGTTATCTACTTGATATCTACTGAATATCACTGGTTATCTAATAGGTATATACTGAATATTGCTGGTGATCTATCTACTTGATATCTACTGGAGATCTACTGGATATCTACTGTTTATCTGCTGTTTATCTACTGGGTTTATACTGGATATCTTATGATTATCTACTTGGATATCTTCGGGTTATCTAGTGGCTATCTACTGGATACGAACTGGTTTTCTACTGGTTATTTACTGGTTATTTACTGGATATCTAGTGGTTATTTACTGGTCATCTACTGAATATTACTGGTTATCAATTGGATATCTCCTGGTTATCTACTGGCTATCTACTGGATACATACTGGTTATCTACTGAATATTACTGGTTATCTACAAGTTAATCACTGGATATCTACTGGATATCTACTGTATATCCGCTGAATGTTTGCAGGATATATACTGGATATCTACTGGATATCTACTGGTTATCAACTGGCTATAAAAGCACTCTCTTGAGACCTTCCATAAAACAAATTGAATAAACTGGAGAAGAAAAGTTTAAAACTTGACTAGATAAGTTAATATCTCCCTGCTGTTTCTGTGAAATGTAATTTCAAATTTCTTTTTCTTTTTGAGACATTTTGACAGATTTATATCTACTTTATTTCAGTGGGACCTGGCTGAATTATTCATGGCTGTTTTTATTTTTGTTTTTACAAACTTTCTTGAAATAAAAATAAGATACAGTGCTGGAATTCATGATTTAAGTTTAACATTTCTCGATTTACAATGCATTGAATTGAACTACTTGAGAAATATTTTTTTTATATCATTTTTTTTTCAGGCACTGTCTGGAAAATTACCCATGATGAACAGGAATGGGTTTATTTGAAATAAACTGTTATAAACTACTAGAAATGGGGAGGTTAAAAACATAATTTCCCAAATAAAAAGGAAAAATTAAACAATAAATATAAATATATTTAAAGTCCCAATTTAATAATTTGTTAAAGCTTTTTTTTCAATTCAAAATTTTTTAAATTACGGTGTTTAAACTGCTGTTGAGAAACTCTGGAACATATTATTCATGTGTTTTTGTATTGTGTTTATCCCTGTAAAGAAATGCAAGGAAGAAGAGGGGGTGTGGGTGGTTCAACCTCTTTTTAAAAAAAAAGTTTTTTTATAACAAGCCTTTTAAACATAAACCTATTTAGTAATGACAATATAATTGTTTCTACCTCTGAAACTCTAAAACAGGAACTTTCATCTAAACATAAACAAGAAACTTGTTTTGTTTTTACTCACAGAGAAAACATTTCTTTTAATTTTATATACAATTTGTTTTGTAATTGAGTTTTGCAGCCGCTGTCTCTTGAAAATTAAGTCATCTAGGAAAAGCATTGATATCTCATTCATCATTGGTCAGACAAATCCTTTTTGGGGTCATATCTTTAAGTGGATTACATGCTCTCTGATCATATATGAATAGATATTTAATTGAAACAAGGTCTACCGTGCTTTTAACTAGAATGAGAATATTCCTTTCAAAAATGTTTTAAAATGTGAAAATGAGATGAATATTACTGAGTTACAGGAGTTCTTTACAATGCTGGCTCTAAACAACCTCTACCCTCTCTGCTTAGGAAACTTTTCAAATATTTTTAAATAATTCTATTTTTGAACATTTTATTGAGTTTGGACTGGTTAAAAGCATTTAATAGATAAAATTTCGGCCTAAACTTATCCTAAAACTCTTTTGTTAAATTAAGTAATATTAAATGTACTTTTGTTAGGATAAGCGTATTTAAATCTATATATTTGGATATGCAGAGGTCATATTAGTATTATTTTCTAGGGGTTTTGAATCCTATTATCCTGATATTTTCTATTTAAAACCAACCTTACCTCCTCTCTCAGATTCCGGCGGGAAACATAATTTCTCCGAAGATGGGAAAATCTCCGAAACGTTGTTTCTGAATTTTGTTTGGGGAGGGGAGGGGTTTAATAAATTATTTTATGTAAATATTGGGCTAGGAGGGGGAAGGGAGGGGGGACAAACAAAGAAAATCCAAACTGGAAAAAAAATCATAGAATTAAATCCGGGCATTACAAATTTTCTGCAAAAAATGCCTCGTCTGAGTTTAGGTTTATCCACTCAAAATGTTATGCTGTTTGGAGAAAATATTTTAAAACCTCCAAAAATAGAGGTTGTAGGAATATTTCCCCCAATTCTAAAAAATAAAAAAATTAGAAATCAAAGGAAAAGGAAAGGAAAGAAAAAGAAAAGTTACATATTTATTGTTTACATTACATTTAATATAGACTGGTGGTGGATTGTAAGCATTTTTCGACGATGAACTAACAACTTTTAGAAATAAAAATTGTAGATTTATTTGTAATTCAAAATAGGCTTTATGGGTTGTGAAAAAGATAAAAGATCTACACAAAACGGGAATTTTGAAGCATGTTATAAATTCGCGCCCAATTTTGACATCCTTTTGATTAATTATATCTTTTACTCTTTTTTATCTTTTTATTTTTTTCACTGTAAAATCGTCTTTTTGTTTTCTTCAATTCTTTTGAAAGCATAGCATGTGTTATAGAATTAAAACATTTGTTATGGTAAAATAAGTCTTCAATTAAATTCTGTATAAAATTCGAAATAAAATTGATATTTGAAAGCTTAGAAAAGTGTCGTTTATTTTCATACCATATTTTAGGGAAATTGTTATGTATAGTTAGGTCTGCTTACTGTAGTGTATAGTTAGGTCTGCCTACTCTACTGTATAGTTAGGTCTGCCTACTGTACTGTATAGTTAGGACTGCCTACTCTACTGTATAGTAAGGTCTGCCTACTGTACTGTATAGTTAGATCTGCCTACTGTACTGTATACTTAGGTCTGCCTACTGTACTGTATAGTTAGGTCTGCCTACTTTACTGTATAGTTAGGTCTGCCTACCGTACTGTACAGTTAGATCTGCCTACTGTACTGTATAGTTAGGTCTGCCTACTTTACTGTATAGTTAGGTCTGCCTACCGTACTGTACAGTTAGATCTGCCTACCGTACTGTACAGTTAGATCTGCCTACTGTACTGTACAGTTAGATCTGCCTACTGTACTGTATAGTTAGGTCTGCTTACTCATTATTAAGATCTGACTGGTGTAGATGTACTGAGATAACAAGGATAAATGTATATAATCTGTGTAATCTGTATTCTATATTCCGCTTCAAATAATCAAATTTGTTTCAGGCTAAAATTTAAACCTTGATTTAAAGAAACTCTTAGAGTATGAAAAATGCAGAGGAAGCACATAATAATTTATTGTCAAAATACTTCAGATTTTTTTTTAACTGATAGATATTGCTCAATTAAAACAAGATTTTATATATTTTCTGTAAAATTGAAAAACTTAAAATGAATTAAATTTTGACTGAGAAATCTTATATTTGACTGCTCTAAGAAAAATGGGAAGAGTTTAATAGAAACTATATTCCTCAGCTTAATCTTAGATATTCTAGAAGAGTAAAATTTAAATATATCTATTCTAGAATAAATTGAACGCCTTAAGTTGAAATCAACCTTTATCCAAACCAAGATTGTTTCCTAAAAAATATAAAATCTGGTAAAGTTGGACCGAGTGGGACTGGAAAAACATTTCTAACTGTTGATCTAATGATGAAACTATCCACGGATAAATATATAACCAACACTATCAACTTCTCAGCGAGGACAAGTGAAAACTATACTCAAGGTTAGATTTTTTAATACAAGGTGTCCCAATAAACATGGGAGTTAAGTGACGACTTTGTTCTGCGTGGCATTACTTCGTAAACACAATTTTAGATGTATTCCTGATAAAACAGTTAATAACTAAAACTACCTAGTCCAAAATGTGGTCTGACATTTTTACCTTCAAAATAGACATAAACACATTTTGGAAAGAGTTAAATTGTCATTTATCAACTATCGAAAATCAAACACGATTTTCAAGTCGTCTTTTAATTCCTATGTTTATTGGGACACACTGTATTTGAAAGTAAATTAAAATGTTTTATATTTTCTGCAAAAATATATATATATCTACTTAAACAAATTACAAGCATCATTTTAAAAAGTTGAACAAGACAAAACTCATTCAGTTGATATGCATGTCGAACCATCTTGTTTAAAATTATAAAAAAATACGAAAAATTTCGAATACATTAAAAAAAGTTTCTTAACATTTTTGAAGTATATGGGCATCTAATCTACAATAAATTGATGAATATTATAAAAATATGATTTGTCATATTAAACAATAAAATATCACATTTCCCCACCCCTTCCGTATTTTTACAACGAAACAAATGCAATAATATAAAATGAAATACTTTGTTTTCATTTTCAGGCAATGGATTGATCATGGATTTTATTTGTTTTCATGTTCAGGCAATGAATTGATCATGGATTTTATATGTTTTCATGTTTTGGCAATGTATTCATCATGGATTTTATATGTATTCATGTTCAGGCAATGGGTTGATCATGGATTTATATGTTTTCATGTTCAGGCAATGGGTTGATCATGGATTTTATATGTTTTCATGTTCAGGCAATGGGTTGATCATGGATTTTATATGTTTGCATGTTTAGGCAATGGGTTGATCATGGATTTTATATGTTTTCATGTTTAGGCAATGGATTGATCATAGATTTTATATTTTTTCATGTTTGGGCAATGGATTGATCATGGATTTAATATGTTTTCATTTTCAGGCAATGGATTGATCATGGATTTTCTAATTTTTCATGTTCAGGCAATGGATTGATCATGGGTTTTATATGTTTTCATGTTCAGACATTGGATTGATCATGGGTTTTATATGTTTTCATGTTCAGGAAAGGGATTGATCATGGATTTTATATGTTTTCATGTTCAGACAATGAATTGATCATGGATTTTATATGTTTTCATGTTTAGGCAATGAATTGATCATGGATTTTATATGTTTTCATGTTTAGGCAATGGATTGATCATGGATTTTATATGTTTTTATGTTCAGGCAATGGATTGATCATGGATTTTATATGTTATCATGTTCGGGCAATGGATTGATCATGTATTTTATATTTTTTCATGTTCAGGCAATGGATTGATCATGGATTTAATATGTTTTCATGTTTTGGCAATGGATTGATCATGTATTTAATATGTTTTCATTTTCAGGCAATGGATTGATCATGGATTTTATTTGTTTTCATGTTCAGGAAATGGATTGATCATGGATTTTGTATGTTATCATGTTCGGGCAATGTATTGATCATTGATTTTATATGTTTTCATGTTCAGGCAATGGATTGATCATGGATTTTATATGTTTTCATGTTCAGGCAATGGATTGATCATGGATACTGGTATGATAAGAAGGACAGTTCAAGGGTAAACTATTTACCAAAATATATCATTAATGGGATTACATTGTTTACGTCTGTCTGTAGACTTCGTTCATCTGAGTTGGAAATATGTATACATGTATATATATATGTATACATCTGCAAGTTCAAATTTTCAATCAGGATTAATATCGACTGAAGTGAGATTCTGAAATATATTAAAATGTTTTGATTTTGAGCTGATTCTGTAAATATGAATAAATGTAATAAATATTGGGTAAAACGATATTCTTTAAACCTGAAGTATGTTGTACATTATTAACTATCTACGTTTGTAAACTTTTATGTAAAACCCATAATTCATCTGAACTGCACTTCAAAGTAATACGTAGCATGATTAGCTTAATCATGTGATATATAAAATGATGTACACCTTAATTTCCCATATTTCAACTGTGCTGTAATATGTATTATGATTGACTTAATTATGTGATAAAGATAACAACTAAGGAGTTGTAACTATGTCTATTAGCTTTAATTTGTAACTATAACCCTCAAAAACATTAGTTGATATAGAGACTCCGTACAGTCTACTGCAAGAGTGTAATTGTTCTTAGTTTTGATAAACATGTTGAGAATCATGTCCTAGTTGAGACACTGCTACTTTATTAGATCACGCCCAGTGTTATTGGCGTTAATAATTTACGGGATTGTGTCTTAGTTGAGACATTGATTGATTAATTGCTAGTGTCTTTGTTGACATCGATAGCTAACGAGATCCCGCCCAGTGTTAGTGGCGTTCATATTTCATATTTTTATTCAACTACAAAGCACGAGATAATACAAATAAAAAAATCACAATTTACTATGTAGTTTGGACCCGCCTAACCAGAGTAGGTTGCTAGTTCACGGGATTGTATACGTGTGGGTTGTGTGCTGGTTGAGGTGGTTGAGGCATTGCTAGTTCATGGGATTGTAGCCGTGTGTTGACATTGATAGTCAGCGAATCTGAGTTACACCTGGATAGATACGGGTTAGAGAAACCATTCTGGAGTAGAGTATTTACTACATATACATATATATATATCTTTGCAACACAATGACGTAAACTGTGAATTATGTATAATCTAAGTTTACACATCAGGTTGCAAAGATAAAGATACTTAATTTGTTCAGTTGGAACTGTTCGATGTGTTGCTCCTGAGTGCAATGTCTCCTCCTGGTAAATATTTTATTTTGTTTTACATACTTTAAGACCAAATTATTATAATATTTAATATCTTAAAACTTTGGAATGTGATTACGAAAGGAACGGAATCATTGCCCCCAACTCAATTTTTCTAATCCCAATATCTTTCCAACCAGATGGTGTAAACCTTTGATATTTCAAACTTAAAATATTTGATTTAACAGAATTTATTGTCTGAAATATCAAAGGTTTTTGAAGATAATAAAGGGATTTAGAAAATCGGAGTTAGTGTCAAAGACTTCCTTTAAGAACCTTCTGTGTGTTTGAAGTTTATAGTTTTACCAGAAGCTTGAAAATTAATTTATTAAGTGATAAAGGAATTGAGTCTTTGCCACAATATCTTTATAATCCCAATATCTTTGGATTCCAACGTTGTAAACCTTTGACATTTCAAACTATGACTTTTATAAGATCAAATGATATAGGTTTGAAATATCTGAGTTTGTGACAAAGACTCAATTCATTTAAACTAAAAATATTCTTGATTTCAAATTGAATTAATTTAAATCAATTACAATATATATATTACTATATATCTTCACTTATACCGTGTATTTAGTTAAAAGGAAATAATGTGTATCGTGTCTAATATGTTTATTATTAAAGGAACTGGCAGGAACGATGTTGATTTGAGATTTCTCAGGTAGGAAATCAATATTCTTAAGTTTTTCAAGTTTTAAATTTCAGATTTTAGAATTTTTTTTTAATTTAGACATTCCAATATTCACTCGGTGGACCCTTTTGAAGATCAAACAATTTCAAAAATCTTTTCAACTGAAATTTCCTGGCATTTTAAGGTAAGAAAGAAAAAGGAACCTAGTCGATGTGTAAACATTCAACAACATACAAAAGAACAGCATAAATACTTTTATAATTCAATTCTGATATGTTTGCAACCTGAATGCGTTTATTTAATACGCAGAAGAGATATGGGGATTATTTAAAACTGCAGTAATATCATATACAAAAGTGTGTTTGTTGATTTCCTAGAATAAAATTATCTTTGGATGGGCTGGCGCGCGCGCGCCACACTTGTTTTATTTTTCCGGTAGCGTCTGATCCAAACAGAGTCCAGTTACGTGCGTGGTGACGATTCAGAACCAATAATATCAACCAATCATCCAAGAAGAGATGAATTCTGGATTTATTGCTTAACATTTTCTAACTTTGAGGAAGCATAGTTTGGGACACTAATAAAACGGCATTTTTGCAGAGTTTGTTTTTTTGCTTTCATCACGAAGCAAGTTTGTCTCTGAATACTTCTTATTCAACATCATTACTTTTAGATATCAGGTCAACCTTTGAAACAATTTAATCATTTTTGTTTCAGGAATTTGATTCAGTTATCAGGAAACAATATCTCATGAGTTTTGTGATATTTATAACTAAACATAATTACTTATCTCAACTCAAATTTAATAAAATAAAAATATTTAAAATGTCGCAAAAATGTTATATTACATGAGGTATTTTCGTACACAGTGAGATGGGTGAACCTCTTGTAGAATCTACTCTAAACCTTTATAAATCTGTTCTCACTACATTCCTTCCTACTCCTCAGAAATGCCATTATATGTTTAATCTCAGGGATTTTGCTAAAGTTATCAAAGGTGAGTGAAATCATTCCAACAGAGTCTCATTATTGTTAAAGGTTTGCAAATAATTCCAAAAGCATTAGTCTAAAAAGGTTTAAATGTCAGTTTATGTGAGTTTATCTATTAACAAAATTTAAATAAAAATAAAAAAATGCCAAAACACTTAGAAATACTGGCCTTCTTTTTCCTAAGCTAAGCATAATCTCTATTTAAACCCATTTTTATATTTTTGTCTCTGGAGAGTACAGTCATGAAGGACTAATCAGGGCGAGATAAGTTTGCTTTCTTCAATTAGAATTAAATCGTGTGTTGGTCTAAAATTCAATAATCTTTTAACTTACGGATTTGTGTTTTATTTTTTTATTTTTTTCTTTAAAACGCATTTGTCGATAAAAAAGTATGAAAGAGAAAAGGCAAAAATTTTAAATTTAATAGAAACAATTCCCATAAAAAGTTACAGCTTACCGGGACAAGGACTGAACTGTTAGATCCGCGTGCAGTAGGAACAAGGTTCAGGGCATCATCTTTACATCTATCTGTTTTATTCAATACTAGCTCAAGCGCCTGGTACTCCCCGTAAAATTAAACAATTTTATAACAACAATTTAGGAGAAAAACATCCAATTTAACAACAACCGAATTTTTAGTCTATGTTATTTCGAGGATACCAATGGGTTCCCATAAAAAAAATTCATCCAATTTTGTTCAGTGGTTTGGCCGGCTATAGCTCACTATATTTATCATATCGACTAGATTTGAGATTTGTATTAATTGGCAATAATAATATTTAATTATTTCTAGGTGTAAAACTGATCCCTGGAACACACCTCAGAGATCCTAATAAATTAGTCAGGAATGTGTAGATAATTATTATTCCTTTATTTATTCAAATGTCACTTTATTTATTTCTGTAGTCTTTCAATTCCATTCTGGTTATGGGTCCAACTGTATCCTGGATTATACAAGAATCTGTCTGTATTAAACTATATAAGAATCTGCGTGTATTATACAAGAATCTGCCTGTATTATACAAGAATCTGCCTGTATTAAACTATATAAGAATCTGCTTGTATTAGACTATATAAGAATCTGCTTATATTAGAATATTCAAGAATCTGCCTGTATTAAACTACATAAGAATCTGCCTGTATTAGACAATATAAGAATCTACTTCTATTAGACTATATAAGAATCTGCTTGTATTAGACTATATAAAAATATGCTTGTATTAGACTATAAAAGAATATGCTTGCATTAGACTATATAAGAATCTGCTTGTATAAGACTACATAAGAATCTGCCTGTATTAGACAATATAAGAATCTGCTTGTATTGGACTACATAATAATCTGCTTGCATTAGACTATATAAGAATTTACTTCTATTAGACTATAAAAGAATCTGCTTGTATTAGACTATATAAGAATCTGCTTGTATTAGACTATATAAGAATCTGCCTGTATTAGACTATATAAGAATCTACTTCTATTAGACTATATAAGAATCTACTTCTATTAGACTATTTAAGAATCTACATCTATTAGACTATATAAGAATCTACATCTATTAGACTATGGTGTCATGAAGTGTATCGTGTGTTCTATGATAGGCTAGTTGATGAATCTGACAAGAACAAACTCTTTAATATTCTCAAAACTAACTGTCAAAAGAGCTTTAAGGTAAAGTGTACATTGTTACCAATAAACGATAAAACTGCTGAACGACATAGGGTCCAATTTTTTCCAATTTTTTGTAATTTTTTTTATGCATAGGGTAGGGTTTAGGGCGGTAAAAAGTCCGGTCTGTGTATAAAAATTCTAAAATAGCCCATAGGATGACTAAATCTACAGATCTAAAAACGTTATGTATGAAGAGCCTTTAAAAAATGGATGTAGAAACATGTGTCACACTTTGATATTTATGTTAAACAAAAAAATATTTTTCGACCGTTTTTTTTATTTTTTCCAACCCTCCCCAGCACCCAATCTCATTTTTTTTCAATGAGCAGGCCTTGAGAAATAGGACTATGAACATGCATTTCTTTCAACCCAATACATATTCTCGAAGGCCTTTTTCTACGGGGGGGGGGGCATCCGGTCTATACATAGATTCAGACTCCAGTAGGGTTAAAAATTACGCTGACAGGTTTCAATGATAAATATCTTACTTAATTCTATTTTACTCGAGTTTGGTGCAGTCCTCCAAGCTTAGTAATGGACACTATAAAGGATTGAATAAGATCTGTATTCAAGCAACTGAATCGCCAAACAGAGAGTAATTGAATAATTTATAAAAGTCTTCTGAAAAGAAAATTCTGTAAATCTTAAATTCAACTTTTATTCAAGGATTCAATGGTAAAAGTGTTCCCAAGCTTTTTATTTTATTCCACTTGGAACTAAGAACTGCAGTTTTCCTGTTGCACTATAAAGCTAAGATAAGAATCGGCATTCAATAGTCAATGGAAATAGTTTTATGATGAGATTTTTATATTATCATTGAGAGTTTCAATTATGACAAGCACTGACAGTGGCATGCAAAATATCTTGAATCTGATTAAAAATATTTTTGTTATTGATCAATTTTAATTCTTTGATTGATTCAGCAGGGATGCAATGAAGAAAAGAGTTAAAAATTTATATTTTTAACAACGATTTCATCCTAATTCTTACTTATTATTCCGTCTACAGTCATTTTAAGATAAATTTCTAAAGAAAATATATTTTACTTTTTGTCAGAAAGTAATTGTTGGATAGGTTAGGTTATAATAAATATAACATTAAAACCAAATAGATTATTAAGTTCAATAGATGGCAACGTAGAATTTGTACAGCTGTGTTATTACGTCACAAGTTTCAACATTTTTATGTTTCCGAAAAATTTTTTATTAATAGTGATAATAATGTGCTTATCATACAGTCAAATAAGTGCAACTTTGTGTTCTTTATTTCCTGCTTTTACACTTTTTTATTTAATCTTGTAAAACCTGTCAACTAATGAGAAAAAATGTTGTCTTCCTTGTTATATTTGACACTTGTGACGTCATGTTTAATCGGTCAATTTCTCTGTTGCCACCTATTGTACTTGATAATCTATTTGATAAAAACTATAACACACCAATATATATATATAATATTATATAATATATATATTGTTAAGGTTGATCTGAGTAAAATCCTGTTTCCTCATATGTTGGAGGGATCATCTGTAGTACACGATGAACATCTTAGGTAATCATTCTTTTTACTTCAATTTTAAACTTTTACTTTGTGCCTTGGCGTGTTGTTGATGATATCCCCCTATAGTTAAAACCCCCTGATCAATAATTGGGTAAATGTCGTAATTTTTCTAATTTTAAAAGTGTTTGATTTTCACAATTTCCTAGCTCAATTATTACTGTGCCAAGATATTTTCAAGTTAAAAATAGCAAATAGCTCATTCATTTTTGATGAGACAAATATTTAAGGCCCTTAGCATTGTGAATCGTTAATGCCACTTGAGTGACATGAGATTACGTCTGTACAGTCCCTTTTATCTTATTAGATAATCTGTAAAATTTCCAAACCTATCTTAATTTCAGGTTTTCATCTTATTTAAGTTTTCTACTCCTCCCCTGGGCTTAAACCCTAGATTAGGAATTCAGAAGAGAACGCTTTTACGTTTCCTTAATTAGAAACTCTTAGAATTAAGCTTCAGTTTCCTTATTGTATTTATACATTAAATATGAAAGATTAAAATAATCAAGATAGTGACCAGAAGTGTCTATCTCACTCCTCAGAAAAAAATGTATTTATGAAAAAATGAAATTATTTTTTTATGAACATTTGTTTAATTTCATGTGACATCAATTATAATATCTCCGACTGAGCAAGATTTCAAAAATGTACTAGGCAACCCACAAAAGATGAAACTCTAGAACCGATTGCATTTTTGTAATTTGTTTTCTTCAGGTCACATTTTTTCTATGGCATTCCTTTGTTATAACTTGCAATGATTTTTTAAGGCAAATTAACAAATTTAAGTTCTCTTTATTAAAACCCTGCATTCAATTCGAAATGTGGACTTGATTAACTTTCATAAAGTAACTTAGCTTTTTTATGCATAGTAAATTTGAAGAAATCAAAGATGGGCGCGATTGACTGATTATAAACCTTTTTATTTCAGGAATATATTCTTCGGAGACTTCATGCACCTTGATACAGATAACAAGGTTTACGATGAAATCCCTGATGCAAAACTTCTAACACAGACAATGGAGCACTATCTTAAGGCAAGACTATCAATCTGTAAATCAATCAATCAATCAACCATTCAATCAATAAACCAATCGTTTATTATTAAAACTATCTCACTATTCGTGTGCTTTCCTTTTATATTTTAAATAAATCCATCTTTATCTGATCATGGATGATAGATATATCCATTTTTTTCTAGCTTAAAATGTTGAATTATATTATTTCAATCTTTGGCTTTTTGCATTTTTCCCATACAAAAGTATTTGTGTAGCGTTGTGAATCAGACATGCCTCTATTTTTTATATAAGATGTTAACTTAAAAATAAGTGGACTTTTCTTTTTTAAAGGTATCTTAATTGATATACCTAAATCTACCTTTATTTGTTTTTTTTTCTACCATTATTAACCTTTATTTTCTTTATCTACCTTCATCTACCTTTTTCTTCCTTTTTCTGCATTTTTCTACTATTATTAACCATTAAACACCCTTTTCTACCTTTATCTTCCTTTATTTTCTTTTATCTACCTTTATCTACCTTTATCTGCCTTTATCTACCTTCATCTACCTTCATCTACCTTTATCTACCTTTATCTAGTATTATCTTCCTATCTACAATTGTCTACCTTTATCAGCCTTTATCTACCTTTATCTATTATTATCTTCCTATCTACAATTGTCAACCTTTATCTACCTTTATTTGCCTTTATCTACATTTATCTTTCTTTATCTACCTTCATCTACCTTTATCTACCTATATCTTCCTTTATCTAGTATTATCTTCCTATCTACAATTGTCTACCTTTATCTGCCTTTATCTACCTTTATATAGAATTATCTTCCTATCTACAATTGTCTACCTTTATATACCTTTATTCACCTTTATCTACCATTGTCTACCTTAATATACCTTTATCTACCTTTATCTACCTGTATCTGCAAATACAGATTTCCACCATGAATTAAACCGATTTATTTTGTTTATTTTGTTCTAAAAAATATATCTGTCAAAAGGTAAAACTGGTTTCAGCTAGCGTGGTATTGTTACTAAAATACTAAACATAAGTCCAACAGATTCAAAGTGAAGAGGTAGCAAAGGTTGAACAAAGGACAGCATATTTGCACAATTCTAAATAACTTAAAGTGTAATGCAGGGGACATTAGTTCCAAAACTAACATTTGGCCCATTTCTAACACTGAGTGTACATTAGAAATGGTCACAAATTGAATGATTTGGTTTTTAGGATCTTGGCCCATATTGAGAGCAAAAGTTAATAGTAAAAACAATAATTCCAACATATTATCAAGCATGCAATTATAAAGCAAATATTTAGCAATTTTCGTTTTTTAATAATTTTCTTGAATCAAAATTTTTAAATCTTGTTTTGTTCCGTAATTGCGTAAATGCTTGAATATTGACATTGATATGAATTCGAGTATTTTTTTCAAAACTAAGATATGTTAAAAAAAATTGGGATATCTTCGAAAATGAAATTAAGAATCAAGATACACCTGGAATTTCTGGCCGAGGAGACAGATGGAGCGTAGAAACCAGTGTTGTTGAAGTTGTTGAGGGCAGATGATGTTAAGCAGTGTTGGGTTCTGGACAGGACAGGGCATAAACTACAACATTCTCTAGAGCTGGAAGATGGTGGATCTTGTAGTTGAACTCGGACAGGAAAGACAACCTTCTCTGCTGCATGGCAGACCAGGGTGGTGACAGTTCAAATGTTAGAGGTTTGTGGTCAGTGAACAATATAAACTTTTATGTTCTAACATTAAAAAGACATGGCAGATAGAGGAGTAGGGTGCAAACAACTCACGGTTTAAGGCACAGTATCTGGTTTCTGGGGTGGATAACTTCTTGGAGTAGAATGCCAGAGGAGTACAGGAGCCAGCTACTTATTGATGCAAGACTGCTCCAACATGAGAACCGGAGGCATCTACGGACAAAGATGTCCAGGTGGAGGGGTCAGGGGGAACAAGTGTTGGAACATTTTCCAGGACAGATTTGGCAGCTGCAAAGGACTGGTTCATCTCTAGGTTCCAGATCCAGGGTAAAGGTTTTGAGAGCTTCGGTTAGAGGAAGTTGTAGGCCAGCAGCACCCTTGATGAGCCTCCTGTAGAAAATAAGGATTCCCAGGAAACGCTGTATTTCTTTCATGTCTGAAGGACAGGGAAAGGCGGAGATGATCTCTGTGTGTTTGACTAGTGGAAAACAATCTGATCCTGATACTCTCATACCGAGGTAGTCAACTGTAGGAGCTGCAAACAAGCATTTATCAGGGTTGATACTAAGTCCATGGAGGTGGAGTAGATCAAGGACCCTTTGTACATGTTCAAGGTGAGAAACAAGATCAGGGCTGGATATAAGGACATTATCCACAAATACAAAACAGTATGGAAGACCTTGGAAAAGCTTCTCCATCAACCGTTGGAAAATTACATCCACTGTTCCTCAGGCCAAATGGCATTCTAATCCACTCAAACAGGCCAAAAGGCATGATCAGCACAGTCTTTAGAATGTCTCCTGTAGACATTGGAACCTAATGGTATTCTTTGGTCAATTCTAACTTCGTGAACACCTTGGAGCCGTGGAGCCTGGCTGAGAAATCTGCAATATTCTGCAAGGGGTATCTATCAGGTTTATTCACCATGTGTGATGTGTAGAGGACTGGTCCCAGGAGAAAAGGAATTTCTGATAATCCCTGCACTTCCAAGGCTGCAATTTCCTTTCTAGCTCACTCAAGTTTCTCTGCATCCATTTGGCTGGCTTAGGCAAAAACTGGCCGGCCAGGCAGGATAGGAACAGTCTAGTACGGCAGACTGAATGCTTTGGATCTGTGATAAAAAACTTTATCTGGATTCTCAGACAGAAGATACTGGAACTCCTCAGGGGTAGAGAGAAGGGCAGTGTAGAGATCTGAGCTTCTGTTGGATGAGCTAGACAAAATGGCGGGGATAGATTTGAGGGTTAGGAGTCATGGAGGCAGGAACCTGCAATATCAACCAGGAGATGATTGCAACATCCCAGGAGTGGCATAGAAACATTTGCCAGCAAAAAACTCCACTCAAAACGTCTAGAACCAAACAAGCCAAACAACGGAAATTATAGGTATTCATAGTGGAACCGTCGGTGGTTTTTAACTGGATCCCAGAACCTGAAGCTGAAGGAGAACGGGGCAGGTGAGGAAACACTGATACAGAAGCTCCAGTATCCATGAGAAACTTGGTGGAGCATAGTCTGTTCTTGAGGAACAACAGAGGTGAGGACAAAGGTCCGACATGAACTGTGTTGATGATATCCCTGCTGTCAACTAGTTTCTCGAATGGGAACATGGTGATCTGGACTGGTTAGCCTGGTTTCCTGATTTGCGATGGTACCAACACTCCTGGACTGCTGGTTCTAGCATGACTAGAGGAAGACCTTGTTTTGGGGTTGTGAGACACAAGAGAAATATCCTCAAAATCCTGAAACTCTAAAAATCCTAAACTCTTCCAGAGCTCATCTGCTCTGGTACCCATTTATCTAGGGTCAGCATTTGACTCTGCCAGGAGATGGGAATGAATATCTGCAGATAGAGAATCCATAAAAAGTCTTAAGAAGAACAAACCTGGCTTCTCATCTTCAGAGAGAACTAACATCTTATCCATGAGCTCCGATGGTCTTTGATCCGTTAGAACTGGGATACTCTGGAGGGCCTGGTTTGATCAAGGCAGGCTCTCAGGACTGTGTAGGGATCTGCTGGAGGATTACATGGTATTTGGAATAAAACATTCTCTTCTACCATTTTTCTTTAAAAATTTTTACGGAGGTTTTATTGTAATTGTCTAATATATGCAATAGATATTTATATAATTTTTATCTTTTTGCAATCCAATGTTGTATGATATTTCAAACTATGCATTTTCTTATACGAAAGTTGGAAATATCAAAGATTTACAGATCAAGTTGCAAAGAAATAGGTGTTAGAAAATTTGAGTTTGTGGTAAATTCTCAGTTACTTTACTAGTGTTTTACAAATATATTTTTTTCAGGTCAAAAACGATATAAAACTGAAATGTTATAAAGCACAAGAAGAATTCAAAAACATTTACAAAATATTTTATTTATTTTTTTTATTTTAGGAATACAATGGAGTATCAAAGGCTCCAATGCCCCTGGTTATGTTCAGGTAAAAAAAGCAAAAACTTTTTCATACAAATCAATTTCAATCGTAAAATTTTTTTTCAGTTATAGGTTAAATATCCCTTAGAATAGCATAATTTTGATTATAATGGTTTAGCCGCAATGTTTTTAAGAAATTTTTTAAACTAATTTTATAAAGCATACAGTGTACAGTGTAAATTGCATGCATGATATACATCGTTCACAGTAAATCGTAATATAATTTATACTGTAAGCTCTAAATTGTACTGTACACTATACACTGTAGTGTACACTGAACACTGTACACTGTACATAGTACAAGCCTCACTTTCTTGATTGCAAGCTAGGGGGCAAATTGTCCAAATTAAAGAAGAAAGAAGAAGTTTGATAAATTGACCCATGTACAGAGAATTCTACTTGAGTTTCCTTTCTTCTTTAAATACTTTGATCTGAAGCAACTGCTTGTTAAGGTTCGCTGTAGAGCATGCGGCCAGAATAATAAGAATCATCAAACAAGGTTTAACAATTTATATACTTTTCCTAGAATTACCAGTTCTTTGTTCACAAACTAATCAGAGAAACCTGCGGCTTAAATCTTTGTATGAAGGCTAAATGTATTTTTTAATCCTCTATGTTTAAATATGGTTTATAGGATGTTAGAAAACTGAATTAAGATAAATGTAAAAGATAATCTTTCTAATTTTTTTCAAATATAATTATGTGGCCAACGGTTAAAGATTATTTTGAAATTTTTTAATCACCGTGAACTTTTTCCCGCCTGGTCCAGAACCTAAAAACCTAGTTTTAAAAAATCCTCTAAATAGCTAGATACTTTTTAGATGTCTAAAAATTTCAAAGTGATGGTTTTAGAAATGATACCAGCATGACCTCTTTTTTGGGTAAATTAAAGTTAAAAAAGCATAAATTTTATGTTTTTTTTGTCAGGAGGGGGGCATGCTCTTTTAGTTGGTGTAGGAGGGTCAGGCCGCCAATCTTTAACCAAGCTTGCAACATTTATCGCAAATTATGAACTTTTCCAAATCGAGGTAAGAAGTGTTAAAAAAAATACAATTATCACCCTGACCTAATCTAACTATTTTGAACTGTGGATAACAGTCAATTTGAATTTGAACCAGACCAACCCCTTGTACATGGCCTTAGTGATGCACCGAAAGCACCGAGCTGATCCTATCCCATGCTGGTTCTGTTTTAACTTTGATGGCACGGCAAGACTTTTTACAATACTCGGCCTATTATAGGCCATTTGACCTTCCCCACTACCTTAGTTTGTGTGTCCTGGTTAAAATTGGAATCAACAATTTAAATTCTTCCTTTTTCTTTAACTTTTTTCGGTGGTTCAAATTTGAACAGGTAGTATGTGGTTTAGCGAATTTGCTCAAATTCATTAAATTGTCCCGCTATTTAAATATTTTCTATTGATACTTGTTTTAGGTGAACAAGTCCTACAGTTTAAACGACTGGAAAAATGATCTGAAAAAAGTTCTAAAAAGATCAGGAGCAGATGGGAAGCAGATTGTTTTCTTGTTTACAGATCTCCAGATCAAGGATGAAACATTCCTAGAGGATATCAGTATGATACTTACTACTGGAGAAGTACCAAACCTGTTTGCTGCAGACGAGAAGGCAAATATTCTAGAACGGGTTCAACTCCGGGCTCAGGAGGAAAATAAGGATATTGGAGAAACCTCGTTTAACAACCTTTACAATATATTCCTAAATAACGTGAAGAATAATCTTCATGTTGTCCTGGCTATGTCTCCACTTGGACCTTCATTCAGGAACAGGTTGAGAATGTTTCCAAGTTTAGTAAACTCCTGTAATATCAACTGGTTTACTGAATGGCCTGAAGATGCATTAGAAAAGGTTGCAAATAATTTCTTAGAAGAAATGGACATGACAGATGATATTCGTAAACGGTGTGTCATGATGTGCAACTATTTTCATCATGGAGTAAAGAAAATGTCTACTCGTTTTAAACAAGAGACTGGGAGGTATAATTATGTAACTCCAACATCCTACTTGGAGCTTATTTTAACCTTCAAGACCTTGTTAAAAGGGAAGAAGGATGCAATATTAAACCTAAAGACAAGATATGAGATGGGTTTAGGCAAACTAGAGTTTGCTTCCTCGCAAGTGTCTGTTATGCAGAATCAGCTAACAGACCTTCGTCCGCAGTTGCTAGGTCAGTAAAACAAATTTAAACTCTTATTTTTTTCTACTTCAAATATTTTTTTCAGAAACTTCTGATGAAACTGAGAAATTGATGATAAAGATTGAACAAGATACAATTCAGGTAGATTACAAAAGTACTTGTAACACTTTTTAAATAAAATCTTTTAAAGATGCTGTTTACCTAATTCCAAGTTCTATTAAAAACCTCTATATGAGGTAAAATTTTGTTGTTTTTGTGGAATTCCGAAATATTTTATTTTGAACATTTCCAGCAAAACATAAATATCTCATTCATTCCAGATCCCACCAAGGTTTAAAAAGACCATTAAGAATTGTAATTGTAAAAAACTGAGGATCCCTTGAAATTACGGCTACAGTCCCTTCAAATAAATGCAACATGCCTTATTTGGATTTTTAAATAATTGTCTGATTGTAATCCTTGTATATATGTAGGTGGAAGCAAAGAAGGAAATTGTTGCGTGTGATGAAGCTTTGGCAAATGAAGCTGCTGCAGCTGCTCAAGCAATCAGGTAAGATATGAAGCGGCTGCAGCTACTTAGGCAATCAGGTTAAATATGAAGCTGCTGCAGCTGCTCAAGCAATCAGGCTAGATATGAAGCTACTGCAGCTTCTCAAACAATCAGGTTAGATATGGAGCTATTGCAGCTTCTCAAGCAATTAGGTTAGATATGAAGCTACTGCAGCTTCTCAAACAATCAGGTTAGATATGAAGCTGCTGCAGCTGCTCAAGCAATCAGGTTAGATATAAAGCTACTGCATCTTCTCAAGCAATCAGGTTATATATAGAGCTGCTCCAGCTACTCAAGCGATCATGTTAGATATAAAGCTGATGCGCCTGCTCAAGCAATCATGTTACAAATGAAGCTGCTGCAGATGCTCAATCAAATCAATCAGGTTAAATATGAAGTTGCAGCAGCTTCTCAAGCAATCAGGTTAGATATGAAACTGCTGCAGCTGTTCAAACAATCAGGTTAGAAATGAAGCTGCTGCAGCTGCTCAATCAATCAGGTTAGATAAAAAGATTCTGCAGTTTGTCACGAAATCAGGTTAAATGTGAAGTTGCTGCAACTACTCAACCAATCAAGTTATAGATGAAGCTGCTGCGCTGCAGCTGCTAAAGCAATCAGGTTAGATATGAAGCTGATGCAGCTGCTCAAGCAATCAGGGCAATTGTTAAGTTTAATGTTCATTAGAGTATGTGCTCGACTATAGGTTTATAAGATAGATAACAAATCGACAATTCTAATTAGGAATAAACTTGATATTCTAGTTAGGGATGATATTTTAATCAGGGATGATAAACTTAATATTTTAATCAGGGAAGATAAACTTAATATTTTAATCAGGGATGATAACCTTAACATTCTAATTAGGGATGATAAAATTATTATTCTTATCAGGAATGATGAACATAATATTCTAATCAGGGATGATAAACTTAATATTTTAAGTAGGGATGCAAAACTCGCTATTCTAATTAGGGATGACTGTGAGAATGATCTAGCTGAAGCTATCCCTGCCCTGCAGTCGGCTGTAAACTCTCTGAATACTCTTAAACCAAGTGATATTACAGTTGTCAAGTCTATGAAGAATCCAGCACCTATTGTCAAGTTTGTTATAGAGTCAGGTCGGGTATTATTATTATTATTATTATTATCATTATTATTNGGGAAAACAGGGGATACCAGGAGGAGTGAGGAGGGGAGAGGGAAAACAGGGGATACCAGGAGGAGTGAGGAGGGGAGAGGGAAAACAGGGGATACCAGGAGGAGTGAGGAGGGGGAAGGAAAACAGGAGGAGTGATGGGGGGTGGGGAAACAGTTAGATATGAGGGGGTAGATTCAAGGATTTAAAGAAATAAAGAAAGGGATAATAAACATAAGGGGAAGGGGGGTAAAAAAACTAAATAACAGATGAAGAGGTAGTGAAAGCTAGCAGGGAAGGGGGTGGGGAGGAGGTGTAATAAATACAGAGGTCCCATACTAATCTAGATACATTACATTGTACATTGTCCGCAGATCTAAATGTGCTCATTAGTAAATATGCAAATCATGTTTGCGCTTAACCTAACTAGATATGTATATCTATAACTCCGTCAAACCCATACTGTGATTAGCTTAACTATGTTATAAATATATAACAAAACATAAATTGTAATTACGTCTGTTCAGACAGAATCTTTAATCTAGAACCTAAGTAATAAATATACTCAGTTGATATAGACTCTGCTTTGATTACAGTGAGAGAGTAATCGTTTCTTGTTTGAACAAACAAGTTAGGATTGTGCCCAGTGCTTTGGCATTGATAGTTTATAAGCTAGTGTCCGGTTGACATTGATAGCTGACATGATCATGCCCATTGTTTAGCATTAATAGTTTACAAGCTAGTGTGTTGAAATCAATAGCTGACGAGATTGTGCACATTGGTTTGGCATTGATAGTTCATGAGAACGTGTCCTGGCTTTGACATTGATAGTAAAGCGAAACTGAGTTGTACCTATATAGATATAGGTTGGAGAAATCCTTATGGAGTAGGGCATTTAATACACAAAGTGGTGGCAACGGTGGGATCAATGAACCCTAGTTAAATGCCTGTAACTCCAGAGAAGATCATGTGAGTACCTGGTTTAACGGAGTATTGAGAGAAACAAGAATGGAGATATTTTAAAAGACAAAGCAACAACAGTAACACTGGACATTATTGAATCATAGTGACGGTTCAGATATAGACCTAAGCTTGACATAAGCCAGGGGAGGGGGAGACCCTCCACTCTAAGAGTTTTAGATAATAATGAGGTTGGCGCAAATGGAGTTGGGAAAACAAGCTTTGGTGGCAATAGTTGCATTAGTGGAAAAGGTGTAGAAGTTCTGATTATAACTGATGTTTTTTTAAAATGTATGTCTATTTAAGTTCCAATATGTATTCACAATCTTAGGCAGGTATATAATCTAATTACTGTAAGTAGCTAGTATTGTCGTATTACAAATTTACGTAGTTAGGAATTAACGCAGTTAGATTCTTCAACATTGTATAACGCATTTTATATATATATGTATGTTCAAACAGCATTTATTGCATGGATAGATACGGGATTGAGAAACCCTTATGGAGTAGGGCATTTACTAAAGGGGCATGGTTGTTGGATCAAGATTAAAGATTCAAGAAAGAACGATAAAGATGAGGGGATGTTTTTTAGAAAATATATATATTTATATTTATATTCATATTCTGAACCCTTTCCATATTTTAAAAACGATATATGACGTTCTTGCATCTAAGCAAATTATTTTTCTTTTTTTTGTAAACAAACATAAAGAAAACAATAAAGGATTTTCAGAAAAAAAGCAAAATGTTGCATTTTCTTTAAAATTATATTTTATCTGTTTCTTTATTACTCTGTGTACATTTGCCAACATCCTCTCTACCCTTCTTAGCTGTCTCTCTTGGATATATTTATGTTGGTTCTTTGTTTAGCTTCTAAGTATATTTTACAATTCCAATACTTTTAGGGTAAACTAGTAGACGATTACTGGTCCCCAGGGCAACAGATGCTTGGAGATATCAAGTTTTTAGAAACTTTGAAAACTTATGATAAAGATAATATTCCGCCTGCTATCATGAAGAAAATCCGGGAAACCTATGTTACAAATCCATACTTTGATCCAAACCTTGTCAAGAAAGTGTCAACAGCTTGTGAAGGCCTATGCAAATGGGTTCGAGCGATTGAAGTGTATGACCGTGTTATCAAAATAGTTGCTCCAAAGAAGGCGAAGTTGTCAGAAGCTGAAACTGAGCTGGCGAACCAGATGGACAAACTCAACGAGAAACGAGCTCAGCTTCAGCAAGTCACTGATAAACTCCAAGCTCTCAATGACGAGTTTGCTGCAATGACGAAGAAGAAGAAAGATCTTGAGGACAATATAGAACTATGCAGCCAGAAGTTAGATCGAGCAGAGAAGTTGATTCATGGATTGGGAGGAGAGAGAGCTCGATGGGGAGAAATGGCGCAAATGCTTAAAGGAAAATGTGCCACTTTGACTTATATATTAACCCAAATATTATAGAATGTGGGGGGAAATAGTTACTATTAAAAAAGTTTTTACAATTTTAATTGTATAATACCAATATTCAGGACGCCGGCCTTAGTTCTTTACCGTCAAACTAGCAACAACTTTTTCTAACAACAGCTTTCATAACACAGGAAGATATTTGGCTGAAATTTT